AGATGGTGAAGAAGGAGGACGCGCCCGCGCCGCCGGCCAGTGCTCCGCCGCACGGCCAGGGCGGCGCGGGGCCGAGCGCGCCGACGCCCGAGCAGCGGCCCGCGACGACGGAGAACGCCGGGATGGATATGAACTTTGGGATGGACGGGTTCAACGATCTGCTTAGCGGGATTACCTTCGATATCGGGGATCTGGGGCCTGGCGGGTTTGATTTCAGTCAGGAATGGATGACGGATCCGATGCCGATGGCCGAGATGAAGTAGAGCGTCGCCGTTGCTGAGGAGGGGAGGGAAGATGTTTGGAAGGAGGGTCGTTGGGTGCTCATGCTGCTGAATTCGCTGCTGCCTGCGGAATTATTTATTACACTGCTCCTCCTTTTCGTCTTATCTGTGCAAAATCTTTTCTTCTACGCTTCTAATCGCTCGCCTTGTTGCATATCGCATACCAACCCTCACTCCCCACATCCCGCCCAACCGACACTTTATCCCTTAGCCTGTCGACTTTTCTTCTTTCGCTACTGTACATATTTTATATCGCTTGACATACTCTCCGTCTCTGTCGTATATGCTCTCTTTTTCTCCTCTCTTCTCCTCTCTATCGCCAAATCTCTCTCGTGATACATCCATCTCCGATCTGTCTGTTTTGACTCCTTTGCTAAGCTTGTACTTGTTTACCTCTATCTGCCCCGTCTGCGAGTCGTGCTCGAATGAATTCTGTGAATATTCTGTTCGCATCTTTGCTGTCGTTCGAGGTGTGATCTCGTCGGTCGTTGCTTGATCACAGCAAGTCGCCCGACACAATACCACCGGACTAACACGATACACCGATTCTGATGGGAGGGTCTCACAGTGATACGACTTTTTCGCGCTATATGTGAATCTATTGTATATGTATTGTACGACACAGCATTGCGAGATCTATACTTGTATCCAACATTAGGGTATGACCTGTATTATACTCAACCAAGAAGCCCGTTCTATACACCATACGATCCGTCCCGGACCTTCCCATCCTCGCCGATCCAAACCCTCAGACCATCATGTGCAGGCCGCACCCAAACCTTCTCGCCCTCCTCAACCTGATCCAAGCACTTCCTCTCCCTATCCGACAAACCCTCCTGACCGACCGTCGCCCCACCCAATATCTCGCCCACATGCACGTACTCATCGTGAGGGATCTCATGACCGAATCCAGTCAGATATGTCCTCGTCGACTTGATCTTGCGCGCAGTCTCTACGGCTTCACCCAGCCCGAAATGGCTCGTGTGGAATGTGGGGCGCAGGCAATCGAGCACGACGACTGAACGCGGTGATGCCAGTAGATGAGGCCAGGTCTCCTCTGGAATAAACGAGACGTCGCCCATATACACTATGCGACCGTCGATCGAAAAGGCGTGGCAGATATACGGCTGGAACACAGTAGGTTTATCTGGCGAAGTGGGCGAGCCGCGGCGTATGGGCGTAGACGGCGTCGTCGTATTGGGCGTAGGCGCGTGGCCCGTCGGCGGGACGTCAGAGAAGTACCGCCCATGGTGCACAGGCATCGGGACGACCTGTACGCCCGCGACGTCGAACGGCTGGTAGTCCTCGAATATGTGCCAGCGGAACTCCGGGACGTCGCCGCCGCCGCTCGCCTGCTCCTTCGCGATCATGTACGGGAAGGCGCGCTTGACTTCGCTGAAGGTCGTGCGCGAGACGTAGACGTCGATGTGCGGCTGGATCACGCCGCGCAGTGTCCAGGCGCGCAGGTCGTCCAGGCCGTTCATCGCGTCGGCATGGGCATGGGTGATCAGGAGCGCGTCGATGCGCCGCAGCTTGTAAGGCGGGAACCACTCGACGGCCGCGGACTGAAAGTTCTTGCCGCAATCCACAAGTATGGTCCTGAACGCATATTGAGCATTTAGCATTCAATCCTAATATGGTATATGTGGTAGCGTACTTGGTAGACCCGTCTGATCCTGGGATGCGAACAATGGCAGAAGTGTTCCTTCGAATATTCTTCTTCCCTTTCTCAGTCAAAGTGCTCAGACAGGTCGTACACGGCGGAACCTCGGGCGGCGCCGTCAAGCACGACACGTTCGGCACGCTCCCGGACGTCCCAGTGCCGAGAAATATTAGCTCGAGGTCCTGCGAAGCAGCAGAGCAAGCGGGCGCTGAAGAAGACATGATGGCGCGAAAAGGTCGAATGTTTCAAGGGGGACGCTGGACGGCGGCTTAAGTACGTCCAAACCCAGCTGCGCCGCTATATGTCTAGTCTAGGGATAGTGCGCTGATCTCCCCGGCGAGATCGCGAGGTGGGTGGGTGGACAAGAAATCCGGCGGTGCAATCATCGCGAGCTGCACGTTGCGGCGTTCTGGTGTCATCGATATATCTGCGCGCCTCGTTGCGGCAACTGCCGCAAGCCGTGAAACACGAGATGGCGACGCGCGCCAGGTGCAAACTTGAACCGAACCTGCACGGCGAGAAACAGAGCCAATGCCTACGTAGTCAGTATGGCATTGTGTGAACGACGATCGCACAGTCAGATAGCATCGATCCGTCGCCGCTCTGTGAGCTCGGAGGATCTTCATGACTTTCCTTCGACTCTCATCATCGCCCGAACATGACGACCAGCAAAGGTCTAATATCACGACTGAGTACCTGATATGGCATGTGCTTATAGATACAGTGAGACTTTTCGTGTATCTAAATGCGCCGCTCAACTTGCACCCATGTTGACAAGTTGCCGAAACGGCTCCCCGTGTCCGCACTGTCACACTTCAACTTATCACCCAGTACATCTCTCAGGCAGTAGTAAGCATCGGCTGCAATGGAGCAGTCTCTTACAGCCACTTCGAAATGATGGTGCTCCAGTAACTGCAATATGAGCGGCAGTATCGAGTCTCGTGTGATCCGACAACTACCGAAGAGCCTGAGAGCGCTCAACTTCGGATAGCGCATAGAAGGCGCTTCATGCCCTGCTTTGTGGCGCGGTAGCGTATCATGACCAACTACCCATTCGACAAACACCGTAGCGGCGTACCCACGAAGATTCAAGGACTTCAGATTGTCCATGACAGCCGCGGGCCAATACCACTGCTGTGGAAGCTGCCTGCCGTTAAAGTCGTAGATCGGCTCCGTCTGCTCGACCTCCAAAAACAGTTCAGAGCCATTATGAGGAACGAGCTCGCACAACGAGGTGGCGAACGCGCAGATGTCCAGAACGTATTGTGCCTCCCAGTCCCAGACGTGTCCTAATCTAACTTTCGAGGGCACTGCGTGGGCACTTGCCACATTGCGAGGAGCGGCGAAGACGTATTCGACTTGATGTGCCGCGTATCTCCCACTCTTGACGGAGAAGTCCATCGAGGTGCTGGAGTAGTACGTGTCGTGGTACTGGACGGCATCCCTGAAACGGTCCTTGAAGAAGGTGCGGAATCCGGGCATATCTATGAACGGGTCGGTGCGAAAGCGATGGTATTGGTGTTGGAAACACAGATCGAGAGACGCATCGGCCGGTATTGCGATATTCACCAGCATACGCGTCAGAACGCGCACAGTGCTTTCGAGCTTGAGTTCGCGTAGATGGGGTAGACTGACTGGTCGCGCAGGAGGTGTGAAGTGCTTATGTCTAACACCTATCGGCATCCGTGTGTCGACGATGGAAAGCGACTCGAGCAGAGGCATCATGGCCAGAGCTTCAAAGAAGGTTTGACTGCTCAGGAGCTCCGCGACGAGGGCTTCGTCCGCAGGGTCGTCACCCTCGAACGCAAAAAGCCCTGACTCGAATGCACATCCTACAAGAGCGAGGCTTACGAGCGTAGGGGCTAGTATGCTCGCACAACCGGCGACTTTCGGAAGGGAGACCCCAATGAGCTCGACCTCTTGCAGGTTGGGCGGCGGCGTGTCGCCCAGCAAACCATGTGCCCATGCTGCACAGTGTATCTGTGTATGCAGACGCAAAGATCGTAGCTGCGGAGCTTCACTACGAAGATGATCCCCGATCTCAGGCCACCGACTTTCTCTGGGGCTTGTCCAGGACACGAACAATTCGCCGATACGATACAATTGCGAGTCGAGGAAAGTAGTCAGGCGTTGCTGTGCCTTCCAGTTCTCATCAAAGACGACGTGGAGCCGTAATGGGACGACGCCCGAAAGCTCCAAGGAGCGCGATAGTGCGTCCGACGTCTGAAGCGGGACGCGAGACCAAAACTCGGCGGATGAATGCGCGGCGCGGTGCCACGTCTTACACACGCGGGTGACTTCAAGCCAATTCCAAGCAATAGAATGACAATGCGTCTCGCAAACCCTTTCAAAGCGGAGGCCGGCTATGCATGATGCGCCGACAGCAGTGGCGCCGTCGCTATCCCCATCGGTATCCGGGAGCGTGAGCGGATCACGATGGCGTCGTTCAGTGTGAGTAGTATCATAGGACACGAGTACCAAGATCTCCACGAGTAGCTCGAGCGGTATGTCGTTGACGAAACAGTGGGCTGGCAGCACTTTGGTACTTGAGGTACTGAAATAGCGATCCAACGAAAGTTGAAGGAGGACTGGTCGGTGAAAACGGCGGCCCGTCCTTGACTGCGAGGTAGTACGCCGAGCTGGAGCCGTCCCTCCATCCCTGTGCTCGTGGGGAACAGATACGCTCGAGAAGAACGCATACATAGTCTGTCAAGCACGGAGTACACTCAATGATGGCGCTCAGCCGTAGTGGTAGTTCGTATGAAACTTGCATCAGCGCGCGATGATCATTGGCCATGGCCGGCAATTCCCGACTTTCGGACGAGTATAATCGAATGACTTTATTCCGGTGTCAGGATTGGTCGTCTCACGATTCAGCATCATGTGACTGCTATATGACAGATGTTGTGATACTACAGTAGCGTCTGAATCCTACTACACGAATCAGCGTTTCCCCCGATTGACCCATCGCAAAAGGTCGAAGAAGCGGCTCTGCTGCTGCTCGTATAGTATGATGTGGTTGTCCACCCGTTCACAGTGCAGCCTATCGCCAAGTATACTTCTCATGCGGTTGTAATCAACCATCTCCACTACACAGTTTCTGACAGTGACGGTGAGAGGGCGATGTTCCATCAGTTGTGATAGGTACGACAGTGTCGAGTCTTGTGAGCCCATCCGATAGACATCAGAGAGCTCGATGGAGTTCAGCTTTGAGAAGCGTGTGGAACGCTGTGTATCCCCTGTCAGCGGTAGCACAAACGTGTCTTGGCTGGCTATCCACTTGAGAAACTGCGTCGTGGCGTAGCCATGAAGATGAAGCGACGTCAGATTGACCATCTTAGCCGCGGGCTGGTACCAGTCTTGATGCCGTTGAAGCAAACCCTCAGCTTCGCCAAGTGGATCTACCTGTACGACCTCCAACGAGACTTCGGGACCGCTGCACGGGATGACCTCGCACAACGAGGCGGCCAAGGCGCAGATATCTCTGATATAGTCCGCCTCCCAGTCCCACGCATGTCCCAATTCGATCCTCGATGGTAGCACGTGCGTAGACGTAGGACAGCGAGGAGCTGTGAACGCATACTTGGCGTGGTGTAGTGTATACTTGTTGCTCGAGAGAGACAGATCCATCGAGTTCGCGGAGTAGTATGCGCCACTATTGGCCGCGTCCCGGAAGTATGCCCCGAGAAAGGCGCGGAATCCGGATAGGTCGATGAAGGAGTCGGTCTGGAAGCGATCATATCGGTGTTGGAAGCATATGTCGAGGGACGTAGTGCTCGGTATCGCGATGTTCATGAGCAAGCGCGTTACGACACGTACAGTGCCCTGTAACTTGAGTTCGCGTAAATGTGACAAGGTCGGAGGCGACACTGGTGGTGCAAAGTGGTCATGTTCAAGTGCTATAAGTCCTATCGGCATGCTCGTGTTGATGACGGAAAGCGACTCCAGTAGAGGCATCTTGGCCAACGCATCGAAGAATGTACGGTCAAGGAGAAGATCTGCGTCGAGGATCTCCTCAGCCATAGGGTTTCCGTCGAAGAAGGAGAGCTCCGTTTCGAATGAGCAGTTGTATAAGACGAGGGTTGTGAGCGTGGGCGCCAGTAGAGTCGAGCAACTAGATATTCTCGGGAGTCGAACGCTGTCGAGTTCGACATCTCGTATGTTCTGTGGCGGTACACCGCAGAAGAAGCTCTGAGGCCACATCGCATGGTAAAAGGAGAAGCATAAACGCAATGAGCGCAGCATGGGAGCCTCCTTTCTCAGGCTGCTTGTCACGTCAAAGCGTTCATTGGCCTTGATAGTCTTCCAGGATACGAAGATCTCCCCGATGCGATGTAGTTCGCGCTCGAGTAAACTCGCCAGGCGCCGCGGCGCCTTCCAATGATCGTCGAAGACCGCATGTACCCGTATTGGGATGGCGCCCGCCCGCTGCAAGGAACCTGATAGCGCATCCTGTGTCTGCACCGGAACGCGAGCACAAAACTCGGCGGAGGAACGCACGGCGTGGTACCACGTCTTACACACGCGCGTAACTTCAAGCCAGTTCCAGGGCATAGTATGGCAATATGTCTTGCAACCTCCGGCGAAGCGCAGGTCGGCTATGCAGCACGCGCCTTTGGCGGCGAGTGCGTCGTCGGCATCGCAATGGGCATCGTCGGAGGGGAGCGTGAAGGGATCACAATGGCGTTGTTCTGTATGGGTTGTATCATAGGATACATGCACCAGGATCTCCACAAGTAGTTCGAGTGGCAGTTCGTTGATGAAGCAATGGGATGACGGCGCGGGGATCTCAAGATATCGATCCAATAAGAGCTGGACGTGGACGGGTCTACGGAACGGGCGGCCCATCCTGGGCGTACACGATGTGACGTTGCTGTTTCGGCGTGCGTGTCTCTATGATATTGGATGTGCGCGTCGCAAGCGAGACTTACTCCGACGGTCGTGGTGGTGGGTGGCACGAACCCCGCATCATGATCAGGGTGTGCCATCAAGCGGGTCATCAGCCACGCGGCGAAAGCGTCACGGGCACACATCACCCTCTACTGCTCATCTTGTACTACGTTATATGTACACGCATGTCAAGTCCATATGCTACACCATAGACTCAAACATCCGCTCAAGCTGATTCGGACAGACCATCATCTCCTCCCAATACGCCAACTCATTCTCCTTCCAATCCCACTCCAGTTTCTCACCAATCACCTCGCACAACTTCTTCCGCGCGCCAAAGTCCCCCAAACAGCCCTTCACCGATACCGCGAACTTATGGTGTTCGAGCATCCAAAGAACGTGGGACAAGAGGGAGTTCTCGTAGCCATCGTCTGTGATGTGGCACTCGCCCGAAAGCTTGAGCGAGGCGAGCAGCGGGTAGAGTGTAGGTTGGGGTGTATCTTCGGTGTGCTGCAGTCGCCCCTCGTGGACTATCAACCAAGCGAAGAACTCGATCCCGGCTTCTCCGTCGAGGTGCAAGTGTGTGAGACCGGTCATCGACGCCGCACACCTCAACCAGTCGTCCGGCCTCAGATCCGCCTCTTCGAATCCGTAAGCTTGAGAGACCTCAAGCGCGACATCGGGACCGTTGTGCGGTACGATATCGCATATCGAGTTTGCCAGGGCGTGGATCTCGTCCGTGAAGTACAACGTATCCCCGCTATCCCCGTTGATGAAGTGTACGAACTGCATGCGCTCAGGAAGAGCATGCTCTCCACATTGTCGAGGGTTTATGAAGGTGCACGAGACCTCGCGTTCTGCGTATTCACCTGGTTCCAAGCTGAACCTCAGCTTTGTCTGCTCGTAGTATGACCCTTCACGCGTCGCGGAGGACAGGTGCTTCTCGAAGACGGCAAGAAGCTTCGATACGTCAACGGCCTCCGAATCGTCTTGAATCCCGGTCCTCGAGTCGTACTGGAACCAGAGAACGATGCTAGTGGTAATTGGTAGATCGACGCTGACAAGCACGCGATATATAGCGCGCAGACTCCCCTGAAACGTGAGCTGGCGAAGATGGGATAGATTGACCCGCTCTGGTTCAACGAACACGTCCAGCTCTTCGAGGTCTTCTGGTAATCGCGTGCCCGTCACAGAGAGCACTTCAAGCAAAGGCATCCGAGCCAGCGCATCGAAGAAAGAGAGGCTAGATCCCCTCTCCGCTGGATTGCTCGAGGGAAAGACGCTCCAAGGGCCCAGCGAGCATTGCTCCAGGACGAGCGACGTGAGGGTAGCAGGAAGCAGTGTTCCGCAGACTTGAGGCATGAGGAAGCCACGCAGTTGCACCTCACGCAGGTTTGGAGGCGCTCGGCAGGCGAAGAGGCGATGGCCGTCTATCTGGCGGTATCCGCCGATGGCATAAGACTCCAGATGCAGGCGTTGAAGCTCTGGTGCGGGAGAGCATAGCCATGAGGCAATATAGTCCCACTCAACCGAGTTTATGACTTGGCCTGTTAAAGAGACCTCGTTGGTGCGATGGAGCAGGCGGAGTGCCTGGTCCAGAGTTCGACGCACTTGCCATTTGGTGGCGAAGTGAGCTATGAGGCTTAATGGGAGGGTGCCGGAAAGCCCTATAGATCGCCAGGCGATCATTGGGTTTTGTAACGGGATGCGCGACCAGAATGCCGGCGAAGAGTGTGCTGCATCGCGCCAACGCTTGCATACACGCGTTACTTCGAGCCAGTTCCAAGGTAGTGTCGAGCAGAACTCACGGCACCCATTGTGGAAACGTAACTCCGCTATGCAGAGAGAGTCACCAAAGACCGGATACTCAGCGGGCGGCCAGACTTTGTCGTTATTGCCATCGTCTGTCCGTGCCTTCCAATGCGTATCGGGAAGTGTTATTGGGTCGCAGTGAAGTATATCCTCGTGCACAGTATCGTAGGCAACGTAGACCAGAATCTCGCCGAGCAGTTCGAGCGGAAGATCGTTTATATGGCACGGCTTCGACGGTGACGTGAAGTAGCGATCCAACCTCAACTGAAGATACGGCGCGCGGCGATTGGGACGAGCAAAGTCCTTTCGGGAGGCGTACGACATTGGTGCGGCCTAGCCGGCACCAGAAATGTGTCCCGCACTATGCTACGTGCGGAGTCGTGCACAGCAGAGCCGACCCGCATATGCTGGGTCGAGATCGAGATGGCGGTTTCTCGCAAGCCGCGTCTGGCCCGCTGAGGCACGACGCGCCTGCGCCGCAGTTTGGGCCACAATGGACAATGAAGTCCAATTCAGACGCGAAAGCGGTCTGTTGCTGGTACTCGGTCTTGTACGCACATCGTAGGCATGTGCATGTCAGTTATCGGCATGACTGGGATGCGAGGCTGATTGCACGCGCAGACGTGATGGAAGCTTGACATATTTTTGACATGAACTTCGACGCGGGTCGCGATGCACGCGGCAAATGCAAGGTGCCGGAGGGCATGTTGTTGCTCGCTCGATGAACAGGCATTCAACTAGGGAAGACATGGTTTTGGTCTGGATAGAGTAGGCGTCTTTATAGACTGTCAGGAACTTAGGCTATGTCCAGAAGATGAGGGTTATGGTAAGAAGATGGAGGTCGCGAAGGCCGTCGCACACCTGTCGCTAAGATTGGACGCGTCGGAAGTTACCGATTGATGGTGGTGGAGCCTGGATTTAAACCGAACGTCTTCTTCGAACGCAGCCAGCTCACTTGTCTCCCTTCCACGACCGTCGCCGCGCCTCCCACAGTCGTCGCCCGGGCTTTCCTCGTCCCCTTTACCATTTAGTACAAGCCACTCCCTACGATGGCCCCCTCCGCTCTTTCCACCCTTGTCGCCCTCGGCTCGGCCGGCGCTGCCCTCGCTCAAGTCACCCTCACCTTCCCCGCCACGCCATTGAACCAGCTTACTTTCGCGGCGACGACAGACCTGCCCTACCAGATCTATCCGGACTCGACGCCTTATGTCCGCGGCCCCCAGTCTGGCTACAACATCTGCAACTCGACGACCGAGACACAGGAATCTATGTGCCAGACCATGTGGGTTAACGGCCTTGACGGTATGTCTCTCACGTGCCGCCTTCGCCGCAGCTTTCTGAGATAGTTTCGCAGACTTCTGCTTGTGGGCACCTCCCAACGCCAACTCTACGATCGCCGACACGGAGGGTGAGGAGGTCGCATGGTGCACGAAGAAGGGTTACGGCACCCGTATCATGGAGGAGGGCACCATTACCGGCGCCCAGCTCTTGAAGACGGACCAGTACTGGATGATCACGGGTCTCGTGAACCAGTCGCTCATCAACATCCAATCCGACGATTTCGGTGGTGAGCTTGACTCTGGAGGACAGGACGAGGTACGTTCCATTTATAGACGCTTACTGCGCATGACGGGTTGTTGACGCGCCACGTGCTTAGCGTGGCAACCCGATCGGTGGGACACTCTACTCGACCGCCTTCAACTCGAACCCGTATGGCCAGATCCTCTGGTGGACTGAGTTCATCGGTTCCAACCAGTGTATGTGCCGAAATATAACATCCATCGTCACCTACGCTCATATCTTTCTCCAGTCTGTGTCAAGATCTGCAACCCCAGCGGCACGAACGAGGCCGGCTACTGCCAGCACACTCTTGACCGCATCGGCCTCCTGTACAACTGCCCGTCCAAGTACACCGCCGCTGCAGGCTTCCAGGCCGGCGAGTTCGAAGTCTGCGACTCTGACCTCATGACCGTCCCCGGCATCTACGTCGACTCCACCGGTGCCACCCAGTCCTACTCGCAGCCCCCGGAGTCGCTTGGTGCTATCACCAGCATCCCGTACACGCCCTCCGTCGTCGCATCGTCGAACTGCCAGACGTACGCTTCGTCTGCGCTCTTCACCGACCTCGTCCAGGCAACTGGCGCGGCTTCCGGCAGCGGCGCATCCGCCACCGGCTCTGCCACCGGCTCGGGCTCGAAGTCCGCGACGGGCTCCGCTGCCTCTGCAACTGGCTCCGCCGCCGGCTCGACGTCCTCCGCGTCGTCGCTGAACAACAAGAACGTCCTCTCGTCGCTTGTGTTCTCGCTCGCGGCCGGTGTCTTCGGTGTTGCGTCGGCCATCGCGCTCCTCGCTTAAAGCACAGAGCCCCGTCGCTCGCTTTCGTTGCATGTTCATGTCGTTGGATGACCTGGATGAGGAGGAGGCAAATACATCTTTACCATATCTCGTACAGGTCCTGCACTTTTCTGCGGGCGTCCTAGCTATTTCTTGATTCTTTTCACGTCGTCTGCCTCATACGGGACCGCGTCAAGCTCATACGGACTTGATTTGCATGATACCTCGCTATGCATTTTTCCATTGGAGTGATAATCGAATTGTGTCTGAATATCCACCACGCTCAGAAAGACTGGATGTCGTTTGCAAGTCATTGAGACTGCTTATCGGTCACTTCGGGTTGCTATACGGACAAGTACACATTAGCCCAACGGATGTTGTGGGCGCGGCTCATTAATATAGCGGACTGCGTCATATACGTTCTCCACAGTCCTCTACGCGATATCGCCATCACCATAACCACAAGTTCTATGACAAATGGAGGTCGTATCTTCGTGCAGAAGATGCGCCAGTCGGCCCGCCTCGCTCTGCGGAGTGCACTCAACTCGGATAACAACCGTTCTCCTAGCTCAAGCTATTCAATTGACACGGTACGCTCACCATTCAATTCGGCCCTTGCACGCCTCATCCCACCTGACTCACACAACCGCAGATCCTAACACCTGTAGGGCGACGCGCTGCGCCGGCTTGAAAGATATGCACGGCGATGTCGGCATCAATGGCGTGGGGTCGAAGGCCATATCAGCGCGTTCTAGAGGTTTGCTTAGAGATGGCAACAGCTAAAGCTCGCGCCTCGCGGCCGAGTGTTCGTAAGTGCATAAAACAGCGACGTCGAAGGTCGGGGGGCAAAGGAGTCTGATGGCCGCCCCGGGTCCATTGCGAGCATGGTGAACGTTCTTCTTGCCAATCTGCTCCAGGCGTGGATTGTGGGGGTGCTTTATGGTGCGCTGGCTCTGCTGTTTTGCTGGATGACAAAGGCTGAAGGAGTCTTTCGCAGGCGTCAAGTAAGTGTTGTTGCAATGCCGGGTGGCCCGGCCCCGCATTCCACGCGCGCTGACGGAGAGTAGTCTTGTCCTCGCCATCCTTTGCCTCCATAAGCTCGCTCCAATCAGGGAGCAGTTCTTTCGCATAACTCAGTGCGTAGCCCTTCTCCTCTCAAGCATGCAACAAGCTGACAATATCTCGCAGGTGGCTATTCTTCGCGATATGCATACTTGTAATCACGACCACGATTCACGCGGCGCTCGCCATTACGGACTTGATACGAGGATTCGCACAGGCTGAGGATGCCTTGCCGTACTTCGTAAACGCTGGACGGCCGATGGTGCTTGGTATATTGATCATCTATGCTTTCAATGTGCGTATCAAGTCCTGTGGCGCCGGATGTCGGGGCGCTCATGTTGGTTCTCGAACAGGTTAATGTTGGAGACGCTTTCATGGTCTGTCTCCTTCCGTGTGTACTGCACTGCGTGCACTGTGCTGACGACTTCAGGCATGGAGAGCTTTCGTCATGTGCAATCGCTCTCAGAAGCTTGCAATTGTCTACGTATGTCCGATTTCGCCGCGATACCCGTTTCAACTGCATGTCTAAGAGCAATAACAGATCATTCTGATCTCCGCGAACTGTGGTACGCCCCGACATCCCCGTCTCAATCGCTGCATCGAGCTCACCATACTTCAGGCATCAGTGTTATCTCCACCGTAGCATTCGGTCGCGCTGGAACGCTCTCAGAACGCACGGCGCATGCATGGATCATGACAGCATGGGCGATCTCTGTCGCCATTCAGTTGAGCGGTAGCATCATCATCGGCTGTATGTCCTCTTTCATCTGTCATCCTTTGCAGAAGCGAATGCTGACCTGGCTGCCGCGCAGGGAGAATAGCGGCTACCCCGATTGCTGCAACGTCGGGTCGGAAGTTCGACCCATGGGTCATTGTATGGGTCGCCGTCGAGAGCGGCGCGATATACACGTTTTTAACCATCGGTGCCCTTTCGGTATCTTTCCCGGCTGAAGCTGTCAGCTATTTTCTGAGCTATATTCTGGCCCAAGTATCCGTGCGTGCTGTCATTCACCTGCAAAACAAACCGAGGCTGACATTGAAGCAGGCATTCGCAGTCTTCACTATAACACTCCGGGAGTGTTGGAAAACAGAGCAAGAGATTGCACGAGAACGCGTCAACGCGACCAGCACGTTCTTGATCAACGACCGCCTGTACTCGCGGCGCTCATCCATCTCTATGACTGGCCATCGTCATCATAATTCTTCCACGGACGGTCTTGCTGTCGATGTGCTCACTACGACGCGCTTGGAGCATGTAGCTGTACGGGATGAGGACATCAAGGTCGTACCTAGATTGACTGCACCCCCGTTGTCACAGTGGGCTTGATACTAGATGGAATACTATAGCTTTTCTTGTTACTTGTGTCCACTGCGCGTATACGACCCGACGTGAAGTTGCCTTTCAAGCCTGTCCTTCCAAGTCCCGTGCCTCACGGAGGTTCGTCCGCTCTTCGGTGCCGCCATGGCGCGCTTGGAAGTGTGTTGTCAATTGAACTGTCGTACGCGGGCACTATCGCCCGGCCTTCTCGCTGGGCGCTAAACCTTGACACACTGCGCGGCGTGCTCATCAAGACGAAATATATGGCCAAGAAGCTCACAAGTTTCGAGCTGCTTCCAGCAGGGCCAGTGCTGTTGGTCTACCGCTGGGCTATACCCCTAGGTAGAGCGCGGACCGATGGCCTCCCTTTCAAAGGCTACAAACGGAGGATAGAATTCGTTGAAAAACGCACGTGAGCGTTACCCGGGTTCTCACGGAGTTATCGGAGGATCCGCCGGACCTCGGTACCGACGCGCACTCGCGCGGAGTCTCGGGCTTTCTTCCTGCGCTCACCGCGTCCTGCCGTCCATCCTGCTACTCCAGTGCATAACCAGACATACCTATATGCATGTGCTCGCACCGGTATTGGATGCTGGACGTATGCATGAGGCTGTATGAGGAGCTTCGTCGATGAAGCCCTCGGACGTTGTTGTCTTGACAGCTTGCTTCGCGTCCGCTTGCTAAGATCTTTCTTGATGGGATGCAGATCAATTTCATATACATCGATCGAATTGCCTATACAGTGGCAAAGACCAATCCTCGTTGACCTCACCGCACGTCGTAGAATGTACGCCTTTGGTGCATACCCTATCCGTCTGTCGTCTACCACCGTAATTGGGCGACGCGAAAGACGATCTCCTCTGGTTGTCTAAGACCTGTAGTGCAACCAAGAAGGAACCATCTTCTCTTCAGATACAGAGCTTTATGAGTGTTTCCAAGCTAATCAACAGGTACCGTATGGCGAAGATCCACTGACTGAGCGCTGCTCAATTTATTGGAGATGGCCGCGGGCTTCTACTGACGACGTATAAAGGCTGGGCGCCGTGATTTAGTATCCTCAGTGGCTCCCTTTCTGCCCGGTCCTGTCTTTTTCGTGCTGTCTGTAACCATGGCTCGTCTCTATGCCGCTTTCCTCGCTCTCTACACCGTTGCAGACGTCACTCTTGCCAAACCGAGCCCCTTCGGTAAACATGCCCAACACGCTCGTGCTGGTGCTCCGTACATCAACACCGACCTCGTCGCACAAAATGCCATTGCTATCACCAACCAGAGGTGCGTATACCCTGTTCTTTGTGTCTGCGCTCGAGCTCATAGGGTACTCAGTTGGGAGTACGGCGCTTTGACTCAGGCGCTAATCGAACTCGAGGCGCCCGCGTTGTCCGTCTTCTCATTGAGCCCATTCCCGCCTTTGACCCTCGTCAACCCCATCCCCGATGCTGTCTGGGATATCATCACCCCGTATGTCCTCCGTCGATACCTTGAGCGCGACAGCCACGGCTGACGCCATTTGCAGTATCCTTGACGCGGAACAGCCTGACGACTTCGCGTTTATTGATGGCGCAGGCGCGGCTGGCGATCCGAGCTCTATTGGCCCCGCCGTCATCTTGGCAAATACGGTCGCGAACAACAAGACCTGGGACGATGATGTTGAGAAGCAGCTCAACCACCTGCTGTACGATGTTCCGCATTCGGACGAGGGTGCCATTTCGCAGCGTGAGGACGAGGTTCAGTACTGGTGCGTCTGTCATGAGTCTCCTCAAGCCGCCGCTCTTCTAACTCTTCATTGCGCATATAGGGCTGACGCGGTATATATGATGCCTCCGTTCTTGGCATACTGGGGCGCTATGACCGGTGGCGCGAACGGCACCGAGCAGCTTAAGAATGCGCACTTGCAGTGCAAGCTTTACCGCGAAGCACTCTTCGACGCGGACGCCAGCCTTTGGCGTCACATCGCCGGTGGTAGCTGGCAACTCAACAACCACTGGGCTACTGGTGCGTCGCGCTCATCCTTCTTATGCCGAGCACGGTAGCTGACACGATGACAGGTAACGCGTGGGCCGCCTTTGGTATTGTCCGCGTCTTGGCGACCATTCAGGCGTCCGACGCTGCGGATGAGCTTCAGTCCGAGCAGCAGGACCTCATCGACTGGGTCAACGAGATCTTGAAGGGCTCATACCAGTACCAAGTACGCTCTCATCTTTCACGGACTGGGACATTCTCTCAACGTCATCTAGACCTCGAACGGCACGATCTTCAACGACATCGACCTCCCCGAGGACCAGACCTTCGCCGACTCCGCCGGCACGGCGCTCATCACCGCGGCTGCATACCGTCTCGCTGCTATCACTGGTGACAAGACGTACATCAAGAACGCCGAGACGAGTTACGAGTTCGTCGCGAACTCTATCGACGGGGACGGTTGGTTGAACCACGCAGTTAACCCGCTCACCTTCAACACTCCCCTCACCGGCGACATCCGCAGCCCTGAGGGCCAGTCTTTCGTGCTATCGCTCGTTGCTGCGCGTAAGGCGTACTACTTGACGCTATGAGTTGCATCCAGTACTAGACAGGCGTATCTCGCGTCGCATCCCTACTTCTCGCTCTCTTCCTGGCTGCTCAGCATTACCTATCCGCTCTTTACGCCTGTATCGCTCTTTACAGTTAATAGCTATTGTTATTGGGATGGAACTCTGGAACTTTGCTTTCTTGCATGGTTCACCCAGGGTGGATGATACCAAAGGAATAGAAAGCATGATAACTACATCCCAACGAGCCCAAATGAAGCGATGACACATCGCTGTTGTCAATTCAAGACGAGTTTCACTAGACGCTGGGCGCCCGAGCCTGTCTGGTAGTACGATATGTACTGCGTCTTACCATCCGAGGAAGCATACTCCGGGTGAGCGAAGCAAGCATAGTTCGTCTCCCCATTGGACTCGACCGAGGTGAAGATCTCCACGTCCGCTGCAAAGTGCACGTCAGTACTACACGTCACGCAAACGCAGATTCAAGCCACTCACAAGACCAAGGACCCTCAGGAGCCGAGGCAGACTGCATGTACGCCGTGCTGGACCCAAAGGGCATGAAGACGTTGTAGAAGCCGCCGAGTGCTGCGCTGTAGAAGACCGTGTTCCCCGCGGCGCCGGGAGTGCTGCATGATGCAAGCGTAAGCATCGCACAGAGCATACGCGCATGCTATGCGCTCACATTGTCCCTGCAACCTTGCTCACGTCCGACTGATACGAGCTTCCGTCCCAGTATGTCCACGCAGCCAAGTTGGTGAAGTCGCTCATCGGCGCCTAGAGAGGGAATCAGTCTCTACTTTCGAGAAGACTCGGTGAGAGACCTCACCCTCGCAAGATACGCGCCCGTCAAGACATTGCCTCCACCATACATGTAAGCATAGTCGTTGTATGAGACAGCTCCGTTGGCGAATTGGATGCTATCCGCTCCACCGAAGAGAGCCGGATCCTTGACGCCCGTGAGATCTGTCAAGCCACCCGTACTTGGCTCCAATCGTGCGCCCAGACCCAACGACAAGACCGTCTCATACCATCCCCACCCCAGCACCTCTCCAGAGAGCGAGGTAGAAGCGCACGACGATCCCTGCGAGCCACGGCAGAGCTTCTGATATCCCACCAGAACGCGATTGTTGTCGGGGTCCGCGAGAACCGCGCCTGGCCATATCGCGTATGTTGCACCGCAGTATGGGTCGCTCGAGCCAGTGCAGCCCGTAGACGTAGCATGTGCGTTCTGGAAGTCTGTCTCGGCTTGTGTCGGCGGGATGGTTTGTCCCGGGGTACCCGTGTGCGAAGTGCTTGTCCAATCCGCGCTTGTAAGAACGATGTTGTCCGACGCATCAAGATCGCTTGTCGCAGCAGCGGTATTATCCAGGCTATACGAGAGTCAGCCAACCTCCACAACGAAAGTAGATATGAAGCGTACAAGCCATTCGTCATACTGGTATCGTCGAAGAACCAGTATGATACCCCGTTCACCAAGGCACTCTGGCCATTATCACGCGCTGTCACGATTTCAGCACACCGCAAGTGATCCACAGTTTACGGAACATACCTTTGACAACGCTATTTTGAGATATGGCACCCAACTCGGTCACTGAAGCGACAGAGATGGCTCGCGGTGCGCGCGGGGTCAGGCGGTTAGACGGAGACGCGTGTACCAAAGAAGCGGCGACCACAGAACCCAGAAGAACCCGCGAACCCAACGTGCGCATGATGAAACCTGACGGGTACGACGAGAGGGAAGATTGACCCTTACGATGCACGGTGCACTTTATATATACTCGTCTTTAGCGCCGGTGTCCGCCGCAACAGTCGAGTGGATCTGATCAAGGATGCGTCCCTTCAACATGCTCAAAGCGCTGTTGGTAGTAGACACGCGCTCGCAAGAAGCACATGGACGCATGAGGTACCACGCCGCAGCAGTCAGCATCAATACAAGCAACGCATGAAGCATAGTGTAATCGCAGTCAATAAGTTCATCGGTGTTATGATGTAGCTCGTTGCTTATTCGACAGGAATAACACAGTGCCTGTAGCGAAGCGTCCGGTGATGTATTATGTAGCTCGGCGCGCGAGGGCGACTATCCTCGATTGAACTTCAAGTCACTTCCGTCTCGTCGGAGATCATGGTGTTCACTCTTCTTTCCTAAGGTTGCGGTGAAGCTGGGGCTCTACGAGGACAACACGGTCGAGCAACTTCTTGACGACCTCGTCCCTGTGTGCGTTGTAGCGGTCCGTGATCGCTTGCAATTGCACCGCGGTCTGCTTGTCGATCTCCACTTGCGCGGACTCGTTCGTACCCTTGTGCTACGAGAGCAGTGACGCTTGAGTATATCGGCATAAGCCGAGAGAATAGGAAACGTACCGAGGACTGGAACGCGTTGAACTCGTCCTCCTTGGACTTGCGATATTCGTCAATCTCCTTCTGCGCCTCCGTCCGTGCATCCTTCAGGCGCTGTACACGGTCTATTCATCCGTAAATACTATAGATCACTATATAGGGAGAGATGACGCACATTGGCGGGCCTGCTGTACGACCTTAGCCGCCTCCTTCTCCGCCTCCAAGAGGGTCTGGATACCCTGAGAGTGTTGTGCCGCCTAATATATCCAAAGTTAGATCACAGACGCATAACAGTATATACGGCATAAAGCGTACCATAATGCGAGTTCAGGTGGTCGAAGAGGTGGAGATGAGCGCAGTGCGCAACATCCGCGAGACCGGATCGGGCGGACACCGTTGACGCGCCGACCTCGTGCGCCGGTTGACCACACACCACCACCTGGACCAACTTCGCTGATAACCTATACAAGCGGCCGACGTCAAGGGCGCTTGCGCCTCATATAAATTCTTGATGCTGAGCGCACGAGCTTAACGCTTATCGTCAGGTCCAGTGTCCGTCTGGTCGGACTGGCTCTGCTCTGAAGGCAGTTGTATCGCATTCTCATCCTGCTGCTCGAAGTACGCGGTCCCATCTCTTTTTGCTTGCCTCGCTAGCCTAGCAGAGAGCGTAGTCGCTCACGCGTTACCATTGTATGCGTCATGGGCGGAACAGTTCTTCTACCTGTCATGGTATCGTGGCAGACTTCGGCTGCTCTTTGGCCGTCTGGGCAAGCGTCATGATCGACCACGGAGCGCCGCCATCACAGTCAGAAACCCAGAAACAACGCTAGACGCCTTCTCTCCAGATATCGCAGCGCTCATGTACTGCCGTTCCACCTCGCCTGCTATCATGGGTATACGGTGTTATCGCGACTTATCGCAGAACCCCCGCTCGCTATCATCAAGTGAATGGAGTCTTACGGCACCCCTTCTTTTTAGGAGGCGCTCCACGTCCATATATGTGTAAAGCGAGTACACGAAGAAGTACTCATATTCTTTGATCTCGTCGAAGCGAGAGAGAGAATTCGCCTTCCGTCTTGCCCCCATGTCGGAGACTTCTGACTTCAAACCGCTGCTACGTACGAGAAGCATTGCCTCCTCGCCAACCGCGCTGACGTCTTCACCACAGCGCAGAGCGTGGGCTATGGCGTCGTTATCGGTAAGACGACGCGCATCTCGAGCGCGCTCTCAGACTGACTGTCCCCACAGGCGTCGGGTTCTTCTTCGCAGCGCTTATGCTCTGTTTGACCTTCCTACAATCACGCTTCTCCGGCATCTCGCCGTCAAAGGCCGAGGAGTTCAGTGTGCGTACATTGACTTGCTCTTGCTCATACAGCCAACTCAAATCTATATAGACCGCATCAAGAAGTGTGAAGGTGCGCCTAGTGGCCCAGTAGACCATGTACCCTAGTACTGAACAGTCTGCAGCCCGGTCTTGTCTGTTGTGGCATGTGCGTACTTCGCCTCTCCCTTCGTCTTCCTCCGCTAAACAACTGTGGACAGTGTGAGCGCGTGGACCTGGTCCGCAACCCTTCTGCAATCGAGTACTGCCGCGTACTCGTTCGGCGTGAGCGGCCCATGGTGGTACGGAGTCGGCGGTACGATCCAACTCGCCATGTTCGGCATGTGCGCTGCAAAGGTCAAGATGAACGCGAACGGCGCGCATACGTTCTTAGAGGTACGTTAGCAGTTATATGGGTGGTCACGATACTGAATGAACTTCTGTGCAGATCGTCAAAGCACGTTTTGGGACCGGCGCACACTTGCTATTCACCTTCTACGCCTTCGTCTGTGTCATGATCGTCAGCGGTTCCCTTCTACGTGTGTCTTCTATCTATGCGTCTACGACCTTTACTGACGTGCCTGTAGTGGGCGGCGCAGCTACCGTGAACGCCCTCACGGGCATGAACGTCGACGCAGCATGCATGCTCCTCCCAATCGGAATCGCCGTCTACGTCGTCTTCGGCGGTCTCCGCGCGACATTCGTGTGCGATTGGTCGCACACCTGCATCCTCTTCATCATCATCTACCTCTTCATCTTCAAGGCTTAGTGCGTATCCCGTCTCCCGCAATGCGAATCACGATCTGACGCATACGCTGCAGTACCACCTCGGACCAGCTGGGCTCTATCAGCAAGATGTACGATCTCTTGCAGAAGGCTGCTGTTGTGACGCCTGTAGATGGGAATCAAAACGGGAGCTATCTGACCATGAAGTCTAACCAAGGCTTGGTCTTTGGCGCGGCTACTATCCTGAGTGGCTTTTCGGGCGTGTTCTGCGATCAGGGTGAGCGCTCGTACACCGTTTTGATCAAGTTATGAGCTAACGGTGCTTATCATACCCCAAGGTTACTGGCAACGCGTACGTAGAGAAGACTGTATTCGCGAGTATCATGTTTTGACTGTCACCCAAGGCCATCGCAAGCGCCCCGGAGACGACGACGAAGGCCTACGTGAGCATCATACTCTCACATCCATAGCACACACTCAAACTACTCATGTAGATGCTGGGCGGCCTCTCGTGGTTCTCCGTCCCATGGGCATTCGCATCTTGCATGGGTCTAGCTGCACGCGCTCTCCTCACGAACGTTAGTCTTCGCATTCGATCGAATATCCCACGATCACTGATTGACCCCCAATAGCCGAACTTTCCTACATACCCCAACCCATTGTCAGCCTCCCAAGCCAGCGCAGGTCTCGCTGCACCAGCTGCGGCCGCTACGATGATGGGCACTGGAGGTGCTGTTGCCGTATTGCTCGTCGTCTTGTGAGTGAAGCCCACTCAGGCAGCTCGAGCCGAGACTGATTGAACACTCAGCATGGCCGTCACGTCGGCTGCGAGCGCGGAGCTTATTGCTGTTTCGAGTATCTTGTGCGTACAGATCTTGCCTATCAGTCTGAATGAGTTGACATCGGCCGTTTCGCAGTACATACGAGTGAGTCTTGCCGTTGTATTGCACTATTGCCAGCGCTAAGTTCTTGATGCAGCATCTACAAGACGTATTTCCGACCGAAGGCGACGGGACGCGAGTTGGTGAACGTCTCACACATCGTCATCTGCGTCTGGGCGATCTGGATCGGTATCTGGGCAATCATCCTCAACAAAGTACGCAGTCAGGCTCCCCGTCTTCTCTCCCACGAACTTGCGCTAACAAAACGTCGTGACAGGCCGGCATCGACCTCGGCTGGCTATTCTACGTGCAAGGCGTCTTGCTCTCTCCGGCCGTCATACCCATCGCCCTCACGATCTGCTGGAGCAAACTCACAACTGCGGGTGTCCTCTGTGGCTCGATTGCAGGCGCGATCCTGGGGATGTTGGCGTGGATGATTGGGTGCTGGAAGATATATGGCGCTATCAACGTGCCGAACCTTGCTGAGCCGTACTCGGCTGTATGCTCTGGTCTTACGGGGTTGCTGTTCTCTGGTCTCATCACTGTCGGTGTGACCCTCATTCGTGCGTACTCTTTCGTCTCACCTACTGAATGAATCGGTTGGGCTAATCAGCATACGCGCCAGGCCCGGACAACTACGACTTCCAAGGAACACGCAACATCGCCATCACGAAAGAAGACGACGGCGCCGAATGGGAATCGCAGTCCCGATCGTCGCGCGGAGATCCAGAAGCGCAAGACGCGGAGAAGGCTACTTCGCCGACTGAGAGCGAGAAAGTCAGCCTCGATGACAGGGAGAGCGCCGACCGTGGGCGTAAAGGTGATGACAAGGAGAAAGTGCAGACAACTGTCGTACCTGCACCTCCGGATGCGGATCCGAAGCAGGGGATGGTGTATAGTGACAAGGACCCGGAGATGCGTAGGGCGATGGAGGCCGTGTTCAAGCGGTCGTTGGTGTATTCGGCGATACTGACCTCTATCGTCGTGATCATCGGTGAGCGCATCTTATTGGCATACTCTGGGAGGGCGCAAGCTGATACAATTTGGTAGTTCCTATTCCGATGTTCTTCTCCCACTATGTCTTCAGCGTAGGGTTCTACAAGTTCTGGGTGGCGTGTACCATGTAAGCCCACGGTCATTGTCGTTCCCGACGGGATAGGATCTGACCATGATCTTCCTAGCATCTGGGCTTTTGCAGCAGGAACCTTCTGCATCCTGCTACCGCTATACGAGTCTCGCGCCGAGATGTGGATAATCGCGAACGGGGCGTATCGACACTTCTTCCCGAGTAAAGCATAGACTGGCTGAAAGCCTGACCCCATTTGTATATCCTTGTATTCACGGGCGCAGTTCGGATTCTGATGAGTTGTACACTTCGCGAGATGAAGCAACTGTTCCTAGCTGGTTTCTAGCTTAGTATGGAGCCGAAAGTCGTACAAGTCGACGTGACTTGAGCCATGTACACTTGGAGACAGGCGAGATGTGAGATGCGCTAGAAGTAGTAGAGTCAACTGTACTGTACTCCAGCTGAAGGACGACGTTCGGTGGCGGCACGCGGTGCCGTGGCTTCCAGGCCCGCGGCCACAGTTGTATTCACACGTGTTCCTAAAGCAACGCCGGAACCGATTGCCGCGTTTGGGACGTAACATCGGCAGCGTGAGGTGGGAAGCGCGTTCGGACGCGCAGAACTGGGCTCTTGAAGCGACGGCGACGGCGACCTGCTTGAACGGCGCAGACCTCGGCCTACTTGCTACTTCTCCTTCAATACCTTGTCCTTTCCGACTCTACCACGCACCCGCGCGTCTCTCGCCGACCGCACACTTTCATTCCTTTTGTTCTCGCGTACCATATCCTCCCCGCTTATTACAACACAACGACCCACGACCCGCTGCACCACCTGCGATTCCCCATGGCACAAGCTGTATTTGAAGACCACCCGCTCGAGTCTTACCTCAGGCGTGCGTACAGCGTCTCATACGTTTATTACATCGCGCTGACCACTGGTATCAGAAACCGGAGAGGACTCGATGCCGGGCGCCATTCCAGGCCTACTACCCGAAAACGCCGACTACGACGACTCAGACGATGATGGTGTCCCGGAGGCGACGATGCAGGATTTATTGGACCTGTTGCCCGACCCACTGGTTCAGTTGATACAGGTGAGTTGAACTTCAAGAATTAGGGGGTGATGGCACGCGACTGGCAGTCTGTGTCGATCCCGAACTGGCTGTTGGTAGCACATGGAGCCCAGCATGGACTTGAGCTGCCTTGTTTTGGGACGGCCTCGGCATGTTCCATGCATGTTGGGCCTGCGCGCCTATTCGAAGGGTGGCACTGCCGATGACATGCGCAGACAAGGGTGGAGTTGGCCACCCACTCACTCGCCTGCGGTCCCCATCTCACTCTGCACCATCATGTCTTCACGAATCTACCTCACGAAATCCTTCGATGTAATGTGTATACTAATATCCACTATTCAGGCCCTGCTCTCCGAGTTCTCCATGAGCCATACAATCATGGGTCAAGACCGGGAGTTATCCGAACGCTTCAAATACGACATCATATCCTCCTCCCTTCTCGCCGCGTCCATCAGCCCTCCGACATCTGCGCACGACCGATCTTTCAGCACGGATATGCCTCATATTCCTGGCTCACCTCCCGACGCGCAGTCCGACGATGATGTGCTGCATTCGTCGTCCTCTCCTGTACCCCTCTCTGTTGTGGTCCTGTCTATCTGCACCTTGCTCTCGATACTCTCCGGATTTATTGTTCTCGCTCTCCTGTCTGGCTCCTCAGTATACTATCTCCACATGCACGCCCATAATCCCGGTCGCTCTACAGATGGCATTAGACCCGTAAGTCATAGCCGCGTTTACTATCATACGTACTGACATCCGGTTCACAGACATTGAATACTCTCAATGAGCTCATCGCAGCCAGTAATCTCTGGGAGTCGACCGTTCACGAAGTTCACGCCCTCATCGAAGATGAAGAATCATCGTATGTCCGCACCATGCTTCATTTGAATATTCAACATTGAAGGGCCGTAGAATATACCATGGTAGCCCCACCACATCGTCATCGCCTAGTTCGGCTCTCCGCGTCGCCCTCCTTTCCGCTCTACAGACTACTCAATCGCAATGCGACAACGTGCGACACCTTCTGTCCGCCCTTACATCACCGGCTGCACTCAGCCAGCTGGCCGAGATGTACGCGCCACCGTCTCCAGTGCGGCCAGCGCTTGAACTTCTTGCGGATCCTGCGCGACCTGTGACGATGCCTGTTCGTCAACGTGTATTGTCGGCGCCTACGGATAAGCGCGCGACGTGGAGCGGGAACGGTGGACTATCATACTCCGCTATCGCCTCGGCTGGAAGCCCATCGCGGCATGCACTGCGGAGGAGAGAGAAACGGCGCTCTGACCTGAGTGCATTGCTCGAGGCATCCGGTCCTACCAGCTCCAGCGCGCCTGTCACGCCTGACATGAAGTCAGTTCAAGAAGAGGACGAGGATGATGTGCAGGAGATCACCATCGACGCGGGATTTGGATCGACCTTCGGTTCTTCCGCTTTGGACCTACGGAAGAGGCGTCGCATCAGCGGGATGGAAGCGTTAGGTTTCCCTTCTCCCGCATCCGCGCCGGCAATCGACCGCTTGTCATCACCGCCACCACATCCTACCCTGCGACACTCGCGCTCATACGGACATACGGCACGTGCCTCATCTGTAGCGGGCTCGGCGACATCTCCTGCGACATCCACGTCTGCTCGCTTCACATCCGTCCAGACCTCGCGCCACCCCCTTTCCCTCACGGCGATCAACAATGCACTCTCCGGAGCCATCTCCGCCAAGCGCTACGCTGCAGCACATTTACTCGCCCTCCGCTTCGAAGAAGAGGAAGACGAGCAGTACTGGGGCGATGTCCGTTCCATCATGAGTCTGCTCGCAAGTTCGCTCGCCGAGGCTACGGCTCGTCTAACATCAACACTCGAGAAGGACGAGCGCACGCGAATGAACGCACAGATCCCTACACCCATTCATTCTCCACGCGTCTCGCTCAGCCTAAGCGACGCCGTCCCACGCCGACGCGTCTCCCGCCCGCAAACGCCTCTGACGTCCTCATTCGGCTCGGGCTCGAGCTCGCATAGACAACGCGATAGCCTGTCCTTCGCTCCTATGCCCAGCCAATTCTCGAGGTTTGCGACGCATGTAGACGCCGTGTCGACTGCGCTCTCTGATGCGCGGGAGAACCTCGAATCATGCGTGGCCGCGCTGCGTGATGACGATCGCTCAGAAGCGCACGAGCGCTCCGACTCGCTCAGCTCCGTTACTTCGCACCCGGCCGTTCAGGCGTACGAGCGCCTGCGTCGCGAGCTTGGGCTCGCATTGCGCGAGTGCGAGCGTGGACGGGAGAGGTTGTTGGATCTTGTCAGCCCGCCGCCGCCTGTGCACTCTGATGAGGAGGATGAGGCTATCGGAGATGGTGACGAGGAGGTTCCGGCGCTTGCGAGCGACGATTCGGATCGGGCTGATAGCCTGCGACACGCACTTCCCCATTCGCCAATCACCGGTTCACCCACACGCGGCGACGCCGTCCTCGTACATTCCGGTCCGCCACCTCCATCAGATGTACCCGCCGCACTCGAGGCTCTGCTCGTACCTACGGGTATCGAACAAGTGTTCGAGGCTGAACCCGATGCGCTCGTCGCGCTCGGACGGGAGAGGAGTAAGATTTCACGGGAGGAGAGGATACGGCTCGCGAAGGCCAGGCGTGAACAAGAGAAGGAGGGGAGGTTGGAGCAGGAGAAGTGGGGACCTGGCGTGGACGTTGTTGATGAGCTTCGAGACGTCATCTGGAAAGTAGGCGAGAGGAGGAGAAAGATGATGGAGATGCATGCTGCTCCGGAGGAAGATGAGGGCGAGGATGCTGTGGAGGGCGTCGAGCCGATGTGCGAGGATGTGCCGGTGCCGAGAGGGTTTGAGGAGGGAGATGAGGCGTTGATCAGGTTATGACCTTTGGGTTTTTAGTAGAGTCGTGGCTTTCGTACTGTGTCTATTGTTACCTTCTACATGCTATGCTACTTTGCTCATCTGTGGACTTGTTCTAAGTAGACTATGAACTCTGACGGTCGTGAAAGCTGCTATGTTCAAGTTGCATGTGCTAGTCCGAATCCGTAAGAAGACCAAGGCTCGCGCCTGCTGGCTGAGCACGCGTTCGTCGCTTGTCCGCAACCACCAACTACCTTTCTTCGGAAGTTTCATTGATTGACCATAATACCTCTGGAGGAAAGTCCCACAGTCATGAACTCACTGCCACCTGCGATACATCATCTTCCAACCGATGCACTCTGCGAGATATTCGAGGTGTGGGCCGACATCGATCCGCCCGCCCCCAATCGTCTGGGATTCATCCTGGGATCCCACGTGTGCCACTCATGGCGTTCCATCATGCTCGACCTCTCGGCGCTATGGGCTGGTATCATCTGCACGTACCGCGACGCGAGCGTCGTCCAGACATTCTTGACGCGCGCTCGTGACGCGCCCCTCGTCCTCAACTTCGCTGGAGAACCCAATTTTAATTTGCTCGAAGCTCTCCGCACGCAAAACGCATGGTCTCGCGCGCGCCACATCGATATGCCCTACCCTGGGACAGTCGATATCGACTGGCTGCTGTCCTATCATAGGGCTCTCCCGAAGCTTCGTCATCTTAACATAGGGGAGCGCGTACCTATCAATCGGTCAGCATACAAAGCCCGTAGTGACTGCACACTATCAGCGCCGGCCTTGTCGCGATTAGTGGTGGAGAGGACCGGGCTTATCATCGAGGCGCCAGGTCTTCGTGATTTGGACCTGCGCTTAACGCACCGAGACACGTCCTCAATCATGGATCTCTCTGTTCTACTTCGGACTATATCCATGTACCCCATGCTTCACCGTTTATCACTCTTGATAGGGGGTGGAGCTACTGGAGTCATGACAGAGTCAGAGGTCCCACCCATCCTGCACGGTCCTATAGCTCTGCGCCAACTGCAGACCTTGCAACTGGCAGGAAAGCCCGGATCACTCGCGATGATATGGAAGAATTTGGACATACCACAACGCTTGTCACTTTCCTGCTTCATGGCCTGGGACCCGGAGCCAAGCGACTTCCTCGAGTCCGTACGCGCTTTCTTGCAAGCGTCTGAGCATCGCGCACTCTGTCTCAGCGCTGAGCGTCGGTCGGTGGGCACGTCCATATACTATCAGATAGCCTGCTTCACCTCAGACTCAGCTGAGGATAGGCTCAAACCTGGCATGGATACATGTACATACCAGATCGGTCTCACGTCTAGAGCCTTTGTCGCTCCAGTCTCGCTGGAGTTACTGCGAGCCGTCGCAGCTGTTAAGAGAGGGGTCACAAGCTTGACCTTACACACTGACTTCGGAGAAGACGAGCTATGGCTCATGAATATGGATCTGGAGGCTCTGGCAAATGTAGAGAACCTTCACTTACAGTGCAAGGAGGCCACCGAGTCTCTCCGTATCCTCTTGGTACCTGGCTCCTTACCCGTTCTAAAAGTGGTCAACATCGATATGGAAAACAACGACGATTGGAGAGGAGTCATCAACGTCCTCCGCATGAGAGTCAATGCCTCTGGTCGCTTGAAGAATCTAGTGCTGAAGGGCGCGATCATGTATTGGGATGAGGCCGAGCGACGAGAGGAGTCGATGCTATTGCAAGGTTTGGCGGAAGAACTGCATGACGAGCGTGTGGTAAGTATCCATGCCCAGTCACATATCCGTCAGGATCCGTACTCACCACTCCTTGATCCAGGTCATATGGAAGGACTCTGTCGATGTACAGGTTTATCACCGTAGGCGACTCGGGCGGGGTCCGGAGGAGTATCTAAGATGGTGAGGTTCGACGAGGGGCATGGGTGCAGGTTACTTCCGCTGTGGTTTTAAGATCCACGCTTCCCATGTAATGCAAGCAGTTGAACCATTCCTCGACGGAAGGAGATGGTACATATGTATATACTGGTTCTACATGATGCGATAGTCGATGTAAAATGAGCGCTCTTGATGCTGCTGAGACGTGTGGCCCACGTTCCACGTGGCAGCATCGGTCCCACGTTCAACGTTCTGTAAGCCAACATTGCACTCGTACCACCACCATCTCTAGCGCGAATAGTGTCACTCCCTGTAGGACATACGTATGAAGGTCACCCTGGATCATCATCCGGTGGAGCATAGGGCTTCTTCTGACTATATATCTTCCTCCATTTCGATCACCCGCCCGTACCTTCGGGTTCTCGATCTCCCGCACGACGTCTTGTGCGAGATATTCTACACCTGCGCAGAGACATATACGCCCACAACATACAGCCTGGGCTGGATATTCTTGTCGCATGTATGCAGAACCTGGCGCGACGTCCTGCTAGATCTTCCAAACTTGTGGGCCAACATCGTTTGTCTGTACCCAACAGCATTAGAGCAGTTGCTATCGAGGGCAAGGAATGCCCCTCTTATGCTCGACTACGGCAACCTTGGCTCGATCAAACATGCAGAGCGTTTTGTAGAACTCCTTCCTAGAGCGCATTCAGTGGTCGATCACGGAAAACGAGTGTGGCATCGACATTATTGCCATTGGGAGGCTTTACTCCCCGGCATGAGACTGCCACAACTCGTGGATCTCGATATCACGGGTGTCCCGCATCTTGGAAGGATACGGCTGCATCCAGAAGAACGACTTGCGGACAAGAACCCGCTCGATACGAAGACGCCAGCTCTTCTACGGCTTCAGCTCCGCGGCATCTCCTTATCCTTTCACGCCCCTCGCCTACGCTCACTATACATCGAACACCACCACTCTGGCATAGACGCAACTTGGAGTATACCCGGCCTATTGTCTATGCTCACTCGGTATCCTCTACTGGAACACCTTACGCTTCTCCACGCTATACGACCGACACAGGACGACCAAGCCTCACAGCTCGCCGAAGCGTTCGAAGAGCTATCTGTTGGTCCGGATCATCTCATCGACTTTCCGCACCTTACCGCGTTACGCATTGGTGGCCACCCCCGAGACCTTATTACGCTCTGGCGTAGCCTGGCGGTACCCCGTAGCACATCCGTGCACTTCGAATTCACGTTAACCTTGGCTGAACCGGGTATCCTGATCACAAGCCTTCTCGAGGCCGTCAAGTCGCACCTCGACGACCCTCGGAACGACACCGTGACACTTCGAGCGCGCCCATCACCACGAAACTCGATTGAGGGCATGATAGGGCCTGCATCCGGCGCGGCGCCGGCGGGCGCGGGGAAGGCAGGCTCTTGTGTCTTCAACATCGCACTCCACGTCCCGTCCGTGCTTTCGGAACAAGCGTTCGCGTATACGCTCTCAGCATTCGTATTGACGGCAATCCCGCACGCGCGCACTCTTCGTCTCATCGATTACACCCTCGGTCCCGAGCCTCTTGACTTCGGCTTGTCATCCATTCACGCATTGTACGTGGAAGGACCAGGAGCACACGACACTGCCGCCATCGTCCTCCGCAATGGATCACTCCCGGAGCTCCATTCGGTTGAGATCGTCAACGCAGGAGACGTGTCGGGGTATGGCGCAGAGATCGCCGAGGCACTTCAGTTGCGCGCTCCCTCCTTAAGGCGGCTCGTGCTTCGAGGGCCTGTCAGATATCTTGATCACCGAGAGCGCGAGGATGAGCTAGAGCTCTTACGAGACGTCGTGGACGATCTGATTGACCAACGCGAGGTGTGTTCAAGCAAGTCAGAACATGATTGTTCGTGAACTGATTTGATAACCACAGTGGGAAGTTGAAGATAAAGGCCACAGCGGCAAGACACGAAAGCTCGCGGGCTTGGGTGTCGCACTCCTACTCTCAAGCGTCACTCTGTTACAAGCATAGCTGTAGTTGTAGTTCATCGATCCTCTCTCGAGGGGACCGTATTCCATCGAAGGCCTCTGCCTCAATCGCGAACGACTACTAGCAACATCATATACAGGTTCCATTGCCCATGAGGCGACGCCGCAGACGCATCATGGTTTGCAGTGCAAGCTGTGCTGCACAATTGAAGAAAATTGTAAGGCGGCACGCCACAGTGGAGTCATACCGAGTCTGCTTCGAGCAAAGATGGAAGAGGACTCGACGTTTTGCAAATTGGACAAGGTTGTGATCTGTATGGACCATGCGGATGGCTTCATTCTCACGAAGGAGCCGGGCGTTGGCGAAGATTTGGTCCAGCAATGGCAGATGATACTCCTTCTGGCTGAGACGAGTCGTCGCGCAGTGACTCGTCGGCCTGCGCATCATCGTCAATCTTCTTGCCCCGAGCAGCCGTATCTCGCGAAGGCACCGGCCGAGTCGTAGACGGCTTAGCGGGCCGACGAGCACGAGTTTCCCATATGAGGTAGAGACCAAGCTCTGCGGCAGCCACTACGCTGGACACGATTAGACCGAGCACAACTCTCTGCAGCCTGCAGTCAGCGATGGAGCGTGTAATAATACTATAGAGTATACCCATTCATCCTTCCACCCAACATGTCCAGCGGCTAGCCAGGCGGCCCATCCCGCACCGAAAACGCTCAACAATGAGTTGATGACGGTCGTAATCGCACGCCTGTCGTTGAGTTCTCGCCTGCCGTCAAGTTCAGGCTTCGGAGGAAGTGGAAATCGTCGATTGGGAGCCGTGCGGGTACCGGCGAGCAAAGAGATCATCGTATAGTCGGCTTCTCGTAAAGAATCCTTTGAGAGAGCTTCTCTTCCAGAGTCCGTGCGCGTCCATTTGGACACATCGAGCAGGAGTGGGTATGGGATGGTCCGCGTTTTCCCGGAGGGCGGGGAGGACTCCAAAGCGGAGGTCAGACGGGAGGCCAGATCGTCCGGTACAAGCGAATGTATGTCATTTAGCGAGTTCAACAACTCCGGCTCGAGTGATACGTCCAGCTCCGTATACCCGCTCATACCGGTGGTGGGTTCGTGGAGGTCGATGTGTGTGAGCGTTTGGAATAGAAGGCGGCGTGACGCGATCACGCGGACGCAGTCTGCCGACACGCGTCAAGCTTTGTTGAGGACGTGAATTGCCTCGAAGATTGACAATCATCTACTCGGCCTCCCTCGGTCGCTCGTTTTGCCTCGCTCCTCCGGCTGATACCATTTCGGGTCATATTGTCCGCCTGAGAAACCACACGCAGACCTGTCATCCGCGTTCGCAGCCTCCGAGATGAATTCTCAACTCATCGCCGACCTCAAGAGACCCTCCTCGCCTGGTGACTACACCCGTACCTGCCGGTCTCTCGACGAGGCAGCATCTTCGATTGCGAAAGATCTGAAATCTCGGTACATGCGGCGTCCACCCTACTTACCATGACTGCACTCTCACGCGGATCCCTGCCATAATAGTCAGCAACTGGGTACGGACCTACCCTCGATCTGGCCTGCTCTCGGGAGAATATGGAGCGGAACTGCAACCGCTGTGGAACAAGAAGAAGAGGAAGACTCGGGTGAAGCGGCGCTAGTGACGAGCCTTGCCAAACTGACGCGCAATCTTGTGGCTGGCATCGCCCATAACCAAGAGCAGGCCTTGTGCGCCGTTTCCCTGACCGAAGCGTATACACTCTCTGAGAGTCTACCCAAGCGTTTTCGAACCGGATATATCCAGGCTCATAAGAGTGTACACCTCTTGGACCCGCGAGAATGAAGAGTCCTGTACGTGCTTCCGTCTGCCTTCCGCTCATAACTCTGTGCCCAACGGATACCCACTGTGTTCGCCCCATCCAGTTGATGCGCTGGGAAGTCTCCGTATTCGGTATGATGAAAAGTAAAGTGGTAACGAGAAGCCACTGATTCAACCGCCGCGGCGCCCTGTTTTCCCCTGTCATTGCTGTCCGAGCGTTGATACTAACATCCCGCATCTGTTTGCAGCGCGCGTCGCGTTGCGCATGTTAACGCAGCTCCTGTCAAACATGGTCACCGTGAACGAGGACCTCCAACGCAAGCTGTTCCGCCGCTATCTGATAGAAGACGAAGAGAGAAGCCTTCTGTTGTACGTGCGGTTTGCACGCAATCGCCCTCTTGAAGTTGCGGATCCCCACGACGTCTACTAACTCGCGCACTCGTGCACAGACGTCTAGCGGAATCTCATGACGCGAAGACGACCCTTCCCCTACTCGTTCTCTTGCTGAACTGTATTCGCCAATCTCGCGCGCGGGCGTAGGTATCTGTCGCCATCTCATCTCTTACAACTGCTCATCATGCCGTACACCGCGGACATCACAGGGAAACCCTGGCTGTCTCTGTTACAGGAAACCGCCTCTGCGTGACCTTACTGGACAAGATTGAAGCAAATCTTGACGCTGATACCGTCGGGCCGGGTGGGCAGGTCTTTGAGTTAGGGTGAATTCATTCCAGCGGCTGTACTTCACCGGTACCGGCGACTCATCACGCATCTAGATACGCTGTATTCGCCAGCCTGTTCGAGCATGGGTTGTTCGGCGACCTCTATTCTAGAATTTCTATGTACGCCGCAATCTAGCTTCCTCCGGCCCCCATATTGACATTCCCTAGCCATGACGAGCCTATCTCACCGCCGCAGACCACGTTACTGAAGCTACTCGACTCGTATCTCCAAGCACGCATCGGCGCCGAACCTGACCTCCACGACGCGGCGACTGCCGAAGCGCTCGTTGGTGCCTTCGGCCTCTTGTCTTCCTTCATTCAGAAGGCAATCTCTCATGCAATTGCGGGGCATGTCGGCACCCCTCCGCCGGCGACCGACTCCACAACTGTAAGTGTCGCGGCCGACACGCTGCTAGATCACCATACGGAGATGGATCTCAGGACACCGAGCGCTGAGGCAGGATTGAATTCGCTGGATCTACAACTGCCGCCCGCCTGTGCCGCGGTAGTCCTTATCGCGCAGTGTTTGAACTCGCTTCTTCTTGCCGAGTCAGATGCCCCACAAGTCACGAATGAGTGCAAGGCCGTGGTATTGAAGACCGATGTCCTAGAGAGCTTGCTCGGTGAGATCTTTCCCTCCAGTCAGAGAGGCGGATAACTCAATCAAGCGGCCCGCGTGTGGCAGAGACGCTTCGGCAGCTCGATATCTTCCTCCCCCGCATCGCATTCGGGAAGGTTACACCCTCACCCGCTGCCCCTCCGAGTGCAGGCGCTGGCGATCCCTCTCGCGCCGATGCTCACGGTTTTGCCTACGTCAAGCGCGATCTTGTCAGGCTTCTTGGTACCCTCGCGCACGGCTCGCGCAACGTGCAGGATCGTGTGAGGGAGGCGAAGGGCATTGAGGTTGTCCTAAACCTATGTGTTGTCGATGAACGCAATCCATGTGCGTGTACACGACCAAAAGCGGCGGGATGATGTTGACAACTCATTCTAGACCTGCGAGAACATGCAATCTTTGCTCTGAGGAATCTGTTACATGAAAATCAAGAGAACCAGGCCGTCGTCGAGCAGCTCAAGCCTATGGGAACGTGGGATGGCAGCGCGGCCTTTGAAGGGTAGTACAGTTGAGCTACAGGTCTGCAGGCTCGCCGTCGACCGCGCGGCGGTCTGGACTCTGAAGGGCTAGGCTCCTCGTAGACAGCAGAAGAGCGCCGAGTGCCAGGACGTGGGCGGACCTCGTGTTAGTAGGTGTACGTGCGCGCCAGCGCTTGGACGCGGCCGATGGCTCGAACGCGGGTCCGCGAGACTTGAGTCCAGGCCACGATTGTACTTCCGGTCGCATTGGTGTGAATTTGAAACAGAGTTCATGTTGCTGTAGTTGCGAACAGCGCGAGTTCTGATACTGGCGCGCTCCGAGTCCCTGCGCGCAGTGAGCTCGGTCGTGCGTTTTGCGGCATCCTGCGCCACATCTAGTCTCGGTGTATACACGCGGTACCGTGAGCTCTCTTACTTGGCTCCCGTAACATACAAGACTACCCTTAATCGGCATTCTCAGTATTTGACAGTGCCGGGGCAAGTGCGGGACTACGGTAGCGACCCGCGCGTCCTTCGCGCCACTGCTTAGCGCTCAAGGACGCTCGGCATGACCCGAGGCCTTCGCGTTCTTTCGCGCAGCGCACTTCTGGAAGTCTTGACTTCACCCGACGCCGGGCAACAATTCATGCGTTGGAAGACGATCCTGAGCGCTTTGGCGTGAAATGGAGACGGCATTGGCCGAACAGCGCCATCAACTTCGACGCCCGTGTCCCGGTCCCCGTCTCACATGCGACGGGTATACGTTTGTAGCCGCCCACTGATGCGCTTCGGCTGTGCAGCGTGAATTCGCCACCATGCGCACTGTGACCATGCGATGCCTCGGTGACAGCTGCATAGAAGATAAGAGCGAATTCTACTGCACAGGCTCGAGGCTCTGCCTCTAGGGAGCGGTGCGCGCGCGGACCGATCGCCCGAGCGTCAGTATTTCCATCATGCGCGACGGCGGATTGTACACGGTCTCAATAGGCTCTAGAACTCGCGATGGCCCAGGTGAAATGTCAACATTATGTGTGCGCTTTGAAATGGGGATGCGGTCCAGAACAGGTGCCACTCATCGCGCGTCTTCAGTTGGAGAAGCACGAGCCGCCATCGCTTCTATGTCGTATCGAGAACACTGCCCAGCGGCTGTTGTACACTCTACTCGGGTCTCATGCGCATGTTAAGCTCGAGGCTCAATTAGCTTCATCCAATTGAACACGCGCAGCCACGGCTGAGACCTCGTTTCAACCTCTTGCATAGTCCCATGCGTCCGAGGTACCCCCAATGCCTTTCTCAGAGTGACATGATTGAAAGATTCAGTACACGATGCGAGATTGATGAGATCGAGAAGCTACGAAGCCGGCCCACCCACGATCGAGCTGGAGGAGGGGCAGGACCGAGCAGCGCCCACTGTTGCGCCGCAAGGTTCTGAACGTGTTGCAACGAAGTAGCGGGGCTTCAAAACAGTCGGGCGCCGCAATCCAGTTGGAGGACAGGACCGTGGGACCGCGACCGGGGCCATCGCGGGCAGAAGCAGGTCCAAAGTTGGTCCAGAGGGACACTCAGTACTCAGCGCTCAACGCGTGGATCGACATGTGAAACGGGTGGAATGTAGCGCTGGTGTATGCCTAAACCGCAAAAAGCATGTATTCTCGAAGGCAAAACGATCCTCGAAGCGTAGAGATCAAATGACAGGAGGGCTACTCGTCGTCATCGTCCTCGTCGAAAACTCGCCGCGTCTTCCGTCCGCCACCGTGTCGGCGAACCTTCACATCGTCCTCCTCTTCACTTTCGATGTCCATATTCGCATCCTCGTCCTCTCCTTCCGCGTCTTCATCTCCGTCTTGATCGGCAGTCTTCCCTGCGCGACTGGCCGCCTCCGCTTTCGCCTCCAGTAGGTCGAGGTCGTCGAGATCGTCGTCGCCCTTGTCGCGTCGACTGCGTTTCTTGCGCCCGCGGCCCGAGTCCGCATCTTCATCCGATTCATCCGCCACGAGGAAATCGTCCGTCTGGTAGTCGCCACCACGCCCGCGTTCTTCGGGCGCTCCGCGTTTGCGGGAACGGTGATCATCATCAGATCCGCCATAGGCCGCCGCGTCGTCTTCGTCGTCATCGTCCGAGTACATGTCGTCCATTTGCCTTCGGGGTTGTCTGCGCCGACGCGGAGTTGGTTCGCCATCAGCGCGAGATCGCTTCGTGCGTTTGCCGGATGCTTTGGTCTGTTCTTTCGTGGCAAGATCGGGGTCCATGTTCGCTTGTGCCAACCGCAGGCGCGAAGTCTTGGAGTGCTTCTGTCCCACGGCACGAACAAGCAGCCGATGCGTCTCTGACGCCATGTCCGTTGGCCGCAGCGAGATGTGGCCTGCGACAGCTGCTTCGGCTTGCATGATGCCCGCCGACTTGTGCTGCGCGACAAGATACGTCAGGGACTGGGGTTTACTGCTTGAGGCGGCCTCCGAGACGGTCGACATGTCGAAGTACTCCTTGCCTAAACGCAAAGAAGAAGTGCCATCTGACCACCGGATGATGCGCGCGTTGGACTGGCGGACCTGCGGGATGGAAGTCCGGCTTGTGAGTCCCGGCGGCGCAATACAAAGAAAGGGTACAAACATCACGACCTTCGGCGCCCTTGGTCCACCGCCAGCGGACCGTGTTTTCGACTCGGAGTTTAACGAGCATGTCGCTTTCCCGTGAACCTTTGGCGAGTTCTTCCTCGGGTCCCTCGTACGTGTCCGGGTTGAACGGTTTCGCGTCAATTTTGAGAAAGTTGGGAAGGCGCAAGATCCAATGCTGAAAAATATGTGAGCATGCTGCGTGATAGGTACGAGCGTATAAGTCCGGTGGCACAAAGAAGGGTTTGAGTGTTCAGACTTCTGATAAAGAAGCTTAGCACAAGGGTAGTAGTTTGCCATATTTGTGGACGGTCATTTAGGGTAATTGGAGCGGGAACTCAAGAATGGGCGATTGTATAGCGAACGTATAGACTTGTAGTTGTACGCTTACCTGTCCGTCGGATGGCTTTGGTGCAGGGATATTGGGTACAGATACAGCAGCCTCCAGTATATGCTGTTGTTGGGCCAGCTGATTCGGCTCTTCGTCATCGTCTTCCGCATACTCTAATCGTTGTCTCTCCAGCCTTTCCTCGATGGTGAGACCAGCATTATCCTCGTCTCCTGCACTTGGCGAAGCTGATTCGCTACACACACGAATAATGTGAGATTTAGGCGCACTATGGAAGACCGCGATAGAGAACATACTGGTCGTGCTTTACGTACTCGACATCCTCGTCGTCACCGAATAAACCTCCTTCTCCATCCATTGCCTCGTCCTCTTCTGGTTTAGGCTCGTGGCCTTCGGAGGACAAATCGGATCGATTGTCACTCATTTCGACATCTTGGGTAGCATTCGGTGTGCCTGATGGCTCCAAGGTAACGTCGGGGCCGTCGGCGAGGGACGCCATGGTCGTTTGAAAGCAAGGTTTGTCGGAAGCTGCGTTTCGGCTGACGCGCGGGACGCGCTCGACTGTTCATTTCCTGCCACGCGTTCTCACGAATCAACACGAGGCGGCGCGCGTCTCGAGGTGAAGCCGGAGGTTCGCCTCGTTCGTCTCGTCTTGCCCTCATCCCCCGCACGCGCCCATCTCGTGCTCTTACCCCTCAACTGAACCCACAATCCCGATGGGCGATACTCACTCATCCGTGCACTCACGCGTTCACCCCGCGAGTGCCATGGACTCATGACGAGGACGTACTCTAGCTTTGCACCGCCCACTTGTGTTCTCGCAAGATTTTCCTTGTATAGCCCTGCGGCATGACAGACTTGTTTGGTTCCCACTGTGATGCCTGGACCAACTAGTGTGCTCGCCCATACAGTGACCAAAAATGTCGTTTTCGTTGTTTACAGGCTCATGGGACGGACGTCTTCGTACATCATACTCACACTGAGAGCCCGCAGGCGTACGCCCGACGGCAGGTCGGGTTCCCAGAACTCGGATGGCGCTTTCCGCAATCTGAGAATAAGCGCGCGTGTACGAAGACCCGGTTCTGCGTTTGATCTGTGGCCCTTATATAGAGAGTCATTGCTCTTGCGGCACCGCTGTGACCGTCCGTCCGCCACTTCGCCCTGACCCCCCTTGCCTGCAGTCCCCCGGTCGCCCACAGCCTCGCTCCCTTGACTCATATACCTCGCTCCTCGGGACGCCTCTTTCCCTCCCACTCCCTCCGTCTCTCACAACATGGCTGACGACTATAACAACTCTTCTACCCTCGGCTTGACTTTCGAGTCAACCCAGTACGGTTACTCGAATGTGAGACCCTCTCAACCTTCGGACATGAACATCTCTAATGTCCACTCACAGAACGCAAGCTCTGTCACCGAGGAAGGCTACCCTTTGGCGCAGGTCAGTGGGACTTTGTCAACTACCACCCCTGGCTCACGGCGAGCGCCACAGACCCAACCCCTCACAGCCATTGAGGAGGGTATCAATAACCTAGAGGGCATGGTCAACTTCGATCATATGCACGCGTACGAGCACTTTCCCGAGCGCCCCCCACCCGATATCCGTGTCGACACCACCATGAGCGGATCAAGCTACCGCGGCGGGCCCTTCTATTCGCCAGAGACCCCACACACCCCGAGCCAGTACTCCGCCACCATGTCACCGATGTCGAACACTCTTTCTTCTCCTACCCGGTCCGGCCCCGTCACGCCTGCCAACCAGCAATCTCAAGGCCTCTATCCGCCTTCATTCGCGGTTGCTTCTCCCAACAACACCTACCAGGCGGACTACAATCACAACATGTACAATATGCACCACAATGTCAAGCAGGTACACCCATTCAATATGCTAAACGTCCACGGTGCAGAGTGCTGACTATCTCGCAGGAGTCGAGCTCCCCGTACTTGACGCATCCAGGTCGTCTTCGCTCGGCTTCTGACGCGTCATCGTCTTCCTTTCACCGCTACTCTTCCTACTCGTCTGCTTCAGCATCGCCGTACCATGGTCCCGCCCCAGCATTTCCGCCCAGCTCGCCTGTTGCTGCGCGCGGCGCCACCTACTTCAGCCGCGACATGGCCCCTGGCCGTGGGCGCATGATCCCTCAATCCAAGTACCGGCCGCACACAGCAGCGGATCGCGATCGCTACGTCAACAAGATCCAGTTGCACGAGCCAGTTCACTTCAACACCACGGACCCGGCCGTCGTTGGCATCACCCTCTCCGATGCTCTGGCTGGCAAGTATCAGCAGCTCGATGGTCGCGATGACCGGCTCTTCCTACAGTGTGGCCCGTCGATCTCCATCCGTATCAATGTGCGTGGTCATTATTGTCTCTGTCTACACCTGATACTGACCTGCGTGCAGTGGGCAGGATGTTACCCTCCGTGGTCGCGACAGATTCCCACGCGCGACTTCAAGAACCCGCCAGGGCCCGTCACGCGTTCCAAGGTGGCGAAGAATGTGGCCCGCTCGGTGCAGCGCTTCATTGACGAGATGAACAACAAGGCGCTCGAGGATGACGCGGACCCCAGCTGGGCTGTTGGGCGTGTGCGCAACGGCATCGTCCTCGAGGACCTCGCGCTCGTCCGCCTCGAGCACGTTTCCAAAGGAAGCTGGCAGGCGCATCTCTGCTTCGCCAGCGCAAGCATCGAGAAAGGCCCTCTTTAATCGACGCGTCCACGGCGTAACTGCGGATTGTATCACCACCGACTCTCTGACCTCCCATGAATCTACACGCTGTCCCAACATCTCAGTCTCATTACGCTTGTGTTGCTTCCTTCTCGTTATCGTTCACATGCATCATTCACATACCCCTGCAATCGCTGTCTGTCTCGTTTTACGGGTACCGTTCTTTATCGATAATAATGCTCTAGATCGGTATACACTACTACCCGAGGCTGGGAGACAATTGCTTTCGTTGCTCGTCTTAGGCTCTGATCAATCCTGTCGTCCTTCCCTCATATCATCGTTTCCGCTCCTTGCTCTGCCAATCTGTATACGTCTCTCCTTACCAGCATGTAAAAGCGGAACAAATAAATGTGCTTTTAGAGTCTTCGACCGGTCATGACCGGTTCTCTGCACCTTCAACTCGTTTGAATGCGATCCGCTGGGCACGGTGCGAATGCGCTGTGTTCGGCTTTGATTCGTTGGTCCGCCAGAGCTTAACGGTGAGCTTACGGGTGTAAACACTGCATTGTCCCTCCGCGTTGCACGGAGTGTCCTAGCCCTTGCGAACCCAGTTTACCCAGGTAGCGCAGCCACAGATTGGGCAGCGGTACGCGCTACGCCCTTCGAATTCGCGAAGTGTAGCGTTCACGTAGCCGGCGTCCCTCCGCGCCCCACGGGGCACTCCTCCTTCGACGACTTTGCCACACACCGCGGCCGTGAGCACCGGGGTTCGTCCCGAGAAGCATGCCCGGCCCTTCGCCGCTCCGAATATGACGGGGCTCCTACGCATCTTCCGTACTGAACGCGTGAGCTGCGAGTCTACAGACTTCTGTGAGGAGTGCGCGGGGAGGTCTCGCTATCGCGCGCACTGCGCTGCTGTGCAACAAGCTCGCCGCACGACTCATGGCGAGAAATGGGGTCCATAAGAGTGTCATGTCTCGGTGTCTCGGAACGGAAGACGAGAGGCATTTTGGCGATCAAGATCGAGAGCAAAGCAGGAACCGTCGCTCGGTATTCATATTGTACGCCGACTGACTCTGGGAGGCGCATATCGTCGAAGAGATACCCCGTCTCCCGCCTCTTCACGACCTTTGCAGCGTCTGACGGAGCGCATCAGCCGGCCGTTCAAGCATTCCGGTATTCCGGTTAAGTTTGACAGATTCTGCAAGAAGGAGCCGCTGAAGGAAGGCGGCGCCGCGATTGGCTCGGGTGCCGCCGGCCAAACAACGTGGGCAACACGTTTCCTACACCTGGTATCACGATGCATCGATTATCCATTGTCGTCCTTCTCTCCTTTACTGCTGCTTCTTCACTTGGACTGTCGCGGTCACAGCCTCTTCTCTATCAGGATTAGACAGCGCAGCCTTGATCGTTCCGCTTTCTCCCACCTGTACACATCTGCACGCATGCGCGCGGGGCGCGTGCACGGCGGGCGGGATACAATGGAAGACGATTTCGATATCGACCTGTACAGGTACAAGTCCAGAACACATACAGGCGGGACCTGTACACAATCTTCGTGATCTCTCGCGCGCTCTTGGACGGTGGCCGTTCTCAGAACATCAAAGCTTCTAATGAACGACGACGACAAGGAGTGCGCCCGAGCGCTTGCGATCCCTGTGTGAACGAAGTCCGCATTGCAACCCATTCGGGAGAACACTGGCGTACGTCAAGGTGCACGCATGGTCCGACCGTGATGCGATAGGCAGGGAATACTGGAACGTCATTACATCTCATCTCGCTTTGTGCTCGGGGCGAGTTGACCACTCGATGAACTTCAGATTGTCTGCTTCTACGGGCGAGACGGAGCACGCGTTGAGCGCAGCCCAAGCGTCTGTATAGAGTGCAGATTGATTGTCGCGCCATATGGCCCCTTGCATGAAGGTTGCGGTTATGGGGTATTAAGCTGTGATCGATACGGACTGTGGAAGAAACGTGGCCTTAAACGCGGGTTTGTACTGCGGGTACGTAGTGCATTATAGGCGTACAACCCCCGAAAGACGCCCAAATTGCTGAGACGGTGAAGATGCATTGTATTGCCTCTGACTCAATCTCGTGGATAACGTTTTCGGCTCTTCAAGCAGACATTGTTATCGCACCTCGTCGAGTTCGCAGTCGATGTGCGTTCGAGTCTACCCGGACCGGGCGTGACGTTGTGCCTCCGGGACTGACGCACTCGCGCCGCAAGATTGACCTGATCTAAGCTCGCGCACTCTATGGCAAGACCCTCACGGTTTGCATTCTCAGATGTCAAGTAAAGCCGCTCATTGCCTTTCTCGGGCTTTGACTCTGCGGGGCAGCTTCGGTGCGACCGCCATCTCCTGATACCATACTGTCGGTTGTCTACGTGCGAGCGGATTCACGGTGTCGTCAAGGAGGCCAACGCCACTTTGGCGCGTGCCCTGCTATCTAGCGCCCTTCCTTGAGAACACTCAACGGAGCGTCCGCGTCGAAAGATCCTGCGCGGCTTCGGTCGCAAGTCCGCGATGGACCAACGCCAAAGACGCAAGACCAATGTGCCTCGATCCTGTTCGAACCATGACACGGAGCGACGGTCGCTTTGCGAATCTTTGCTTCTTTGAACATCGTGGACGCGACGACGATCCTTGCCCTCTTCCTTGGTGGGTAAGTCTGGCTACCAGCGGGTCAGAGTCATTCCTCCCAGATGCGAATACGTCCCGATAGATCTTCTGAGCGTGTTCTCCGCAGAAGCCATACGACACGTACAGATACACTCACCGCTGGCCATCACGTCGAAGTTGGTATCGGCCCTCGGATCAGAGCAAATCATCAGTCTCAGTGGACCCCGAGTTTACCCCACCTTGGAGAATGAATTCGCCTCATGTCGATGATGTCCAACGCTCCGGTATAACGATCTGCAAGCCCCTTCCCAGAGCAGGTCTTGGGCGGAAGACATGACGACGGTGGCGAACTGTGCTAACCCCTACACTCGTGGCGGCAGAGACGTGCATCCTGATCATGATGTGGAGAAGGCTGGAGAACAAAGGCGTCGAAGGAAGTCGAGGGCTTTCACGCCCCTTCTTCTCGGTCTCATCTTCCGGAGTTTACTTCCTGAGAGGCATGTACGTCTCCCAAGTCGTCGTCGATGCCGCCGCCGCAGTGCACATGGCAGAACACCGAGCTCAATCAACTGGAGACTATGGACTTAGGCAGATCTATGAACCGCGGCCGTCGTTGCTCTCGCTCTTATGACATCGAGAATGACTTATCCTCTTCAAGGCGGTCTGGCAGTGGCCTGGCTCGCTTCTCAGCTCACCGTGACCATTGAGACCCGGGGAATGTCGTTTTTGAAGACAATAGCAAAGCCGTTCGGGCGCGGTGTTGCATGTTTGGGGCTGTACGGGGAGATACTCCTCGCATAAAAGTGTCCCGGGCCCCCTGCAGGAAGGCTAAGGCACGTCCGTAGTCAAAACAGACATTATAGATAGGCTTCGTGCCGACATGCCGGTCGAGATGGAAGACCTCTCGAGATCGACATGCGTGATCTTCAGGAGACGATCAAGGTAGCGGTCTGGCAGCGCGCTCCTTTACTGCCACCTAGTTCGACAAAGCTCGTCTCACCTACAGACCATGCGACTGAAACTGCGGCGAGAGGATCTCATAGTACCATACATGCCAGCAATACGGTGATGACTCGCCGGTTTGTCGAAGGACGTCTTCTCACACCGGCGATGATAAGGTATATCTGAGGCGGTACGTCGCAGTGAATGTGAGTTCTTGGATAAACCCACAGGCACGCCAATGTATTCGAAGAAGAAGTAGCGTGTCTGTCGCTCATCTCTTCTTACCTATTTCCGCAAGCAGAATTAGGCTGATGATTTCGGTCTTTGACGCTGGATACCCGCCTTGAGACCCAAGAATCGCATCCCGAATGTGACAATGCAGCGCAATAAAGCTGCCGCCTCTGGGTGCAGTAGCGTTCGCCACTAGTCGCTTCTGAGATAACGTACGTTTCATCGTGATTCGTGATTCGTCGGACCGACGACTTGGTCATCTCTCCAGAAGAGAAAACTCTACGGCCGCCGTCGACCAGGGTATGAGAGCGAGTGAACCCTAATTCTATATCCAGGCGACGATCCAGCGCTGGCCTGTAATGGATTGCAAGCCCAAAGCGGCACGCGCAGTCTTCGAAGGGATGGCATATACTGAACGCTTGATCTAGGTACCGCAAAGGCCGACACAACCGAAGGACCTCCACAAGTGATCGAGGATCTTCCCATCCCGTTACTGAACGCGTCGTAGTCTTGTTTCGGATATTGCATGAAACGAAAACTACAGTCTGCTTGTGTTCAATCGGTGTCCACCTCACGCCGACACACTCACATGTGTGCCTTGAACTAGAACCTAGAGTTCATCGGACGGACGGAGCGTCCGTGTCATAGTTGCGGCTCATGGCGACGGAGCCATCAGACAACATAGAAGTGAATGATCGCGGTTAGTAAAGTTCTCGCGTTCACAGAACGTACCCATTCGTGTATTGTTTTCCATTTTGGCTGCATAGCAACCCGAGACGGCAGACGGGCATGCCCGACGACGTTGTTGAGTGGCGCCCAAGGGTCAATTATGGAATCATGGTCGGGATCAAGTTCTGCTTCGATCAGGTAGGGACATACTTAGTTCGCTTTATATTGGCGCCACAACCAATCATTGCGTGTAGATGTCCGCTCGCCGATACCACTTCCTGATCGAAGAACGAGTAAACCGACGGCATAACTGGTACAGAGGCTGTGACTGGGATGCTTTCGCAAGCATGTTTCATTGTTTCCATTGACGCTCTATACCTAAAGCATGAAGAAAGACTGAGAGATACCATCCGGTCAGACCCCAGACTTCGAGGCGGCCGGCGCGACCACCTCCCACTTCATCCACCGGTGTGGATCCTTGCTTCGCCCAGTCTACGCCTGTGACGAGATCCGTAACGTCGACTGTCGGATATGGCTCGCCTCCGCGAAACAGGTGATTGCGTAATCGATTTGTATCACAGGCGGCGCTGAAAGGCAGATGGAAAGCTTGTGCGACCTCTTTTGGGGAGAGTGTGAGGCTGGCGAGATCCACCGAAGGCAGTGGCTCGTCCGGCCCTAGCGAGTCTACGGCCATGCGTGCCGCAACGCTAGCGTGCAAGAAGCCCTGCAGACGCAAAATGAGTAATCAAGACCTCATTCCTCATGTCAAAGAACGTACAACATATGCGTAGACGCGTAGGCCACCCAGAGAGAGCACAGGGGGACCGAATTGCCCTAGTAATTCGATTTGGTCGGGCGAGATCCCCACTTCCTCATGGGTTTCACGAAGTGCGGCAGAGTCAAAACTTGCATCAGTCTACTCAAAGTGAGAAACACGCAGCAATATGAGTTCAAAGGACATACGTCGTCTACACGTCCTCCTGGGAAGCTGATGAGGACGATTGAGCGAACAGCGCGCGGATAGCTTCGCTGAACGCGCCCACCTCACCTCTCCCGAATGTGCGCGCAATCGGTTTCCTCGAACTTCCAAGAGCATCCCGGATATATTATTCACGTTGCACAGTGGCACTAGTACGGCGGCATGCTTTTCCTTGTAGTCGGGAGGTGGATGGACATAACTCGAGAGCGCGGAGCGAATATCCATGAGAGAATTCCTCGTGAGTGGTGAAGCCAAAGAAGGCGCCGTAGGGAGCCTTGTTGCGGAGATCAGGCGTGAGGTAGAGGGGTTCATTTCAGTGTTCCAGTATGACGGAGGACTAGACTATAGAGTGAGATGTGCGCTTGTCGAACGTCAAGTTTCAAGAACGGTGGTGCGTGCTTGCGCCGCGAGTATGACGTGTGGGAACTTGATGGGTCGGTAACAATCGGCAATTTCGCCTTGTTCGAACGTCGCTCTCCGTACACTACGTAGGCTCCACCCGCTTCGGCGATCGCTACTGTACGCCGGTACTCAGAGTATCACGTCGAGCTGCCTAGCGGACGCGTACTGCAGTACCTCACGGCCTCCTCGTCAATAGACGTATTCTAACCAAATCAGGCTACCCCCGTTTGTGCGTAACGCACCCAGCACGCATGTCAGTACAAGAACTCCACGATGTATTGTTCTACCTCGCGTCCGACGCATGTCTACTCATGAGCCCAAGTCCCTTCTACGCAGATGAACAAGGAAGCGTTGTTCCCCAGGTCATCTGCCACTTCGAGTCCTGCGCAACTCTTGGATACAGTAAGGCCTGACGGCAGCCGCGAATAGCAAAATCCTTGTGATGCACGAGCAGATCGCCCGTAGACGTGTTACTCCCTTTGTTGGCGTCGAGTCTAAGCGTCCCACACCAGCTCGCTTGAACAAGGTCGGGGACTACCATTTCAGGAAGTGGCTTTGTCGTTAGGGTTAGGGTCAGTTTGTTCCCGACACACAATAAGGGAAGGCGTTGTTCTTCTGCAAGCACCTTTGCCTTGCTGCATCCACATGGGCAACCCACGCTTTTGTCCATACTTCGAATGCCTTGTGTCCACAGGTAGTCGGGAACAACAGAAGTGGACCCTGCGCGCGCTATATAGGGATTGTGTCTGGCGTCTGTCCACATCAGCTCCCTCACGCACTTCTCCTCACGACACCAGACGAGGCTCTTTATACCCCGACGCAACGTCGCCTGCTGTAATCGTACTACCAACATCTACCACTCTCAAATCTACTGCAAGGATGCTCTCTTACGGATCCGTCGCCGTTGCCATCGTCAACCGCCAGGTCGTTCTTGTGACCGGTACGTCCAGAGTGAAGCTTCCGATCCGATCCTTAAGCTAACCGCAACCTTCTAGCTGCGCATCCACATGATCAACGCGATCGCTACCTCGACGTTTACACCTATACCTCCGCCGGTCGCGGCGTCTTCCTCGCTACCCAAGCTCCTTGCGCGCGAATTGCCGCAAAAGACCTGCTTGTCGTTTTCCCGGATGAAGACGCCTACTTCATGCCCGCGCGCGACGTTCTTGAGCTTCCAATGCAGGCATACCACGAATATGTCTACTTGCGCGAACGCCTAGTGGCGCAGGCGCAGCGTAAATGGCACGAGCGCAAGCTCTGGGCTGCCTGGAAGGGCAAGTTCATGTGAACGCCCTCACATGATCGGTACCACTCCATCTCATCTTGCTCTCGTCCTCGCATCTATCGTCGTTGTCTCCGTTCACGATTGCTCCGCCTGGCCATACATCGTTCACTCCTTCATCTCCCACATATCTGCCCGTCTCCAACACGCATAAACTGTAGCATATGATGATTCTCACACGTTTCTGGATTTTCCTGTAGCCCATACGCAATGCCTCGCTTCGCTTGACCTACTGCACCCCGACCGTTTCAAATCCGCTAACATGTATCACTAGTTGCTGTGCAGCGCCAATAACCCACAATCAATATATACCACGCATGGATTGCGGAGTTCCGACGTGATTATGCTTTTGGGTGTGCCCGATCGATGCGTGCAAGCGATCGAGCGCACACAGAGGACACAGGTATATCGGCCACAATCTCCGGAGGCGAGTGCTTCAGCATCGATCATCATAAGCCATCCTCGCTTGCGCTGGGGCACAGCCGCCTGAGGCATCTGGCAAGTTCACGTTTCGACGCAAGGGTTGTCCACCCGAGTTGTTCATGTACATTGGCGAGAGGTACACCGTGAAAGCGTACTCCTTGAAGCTTGAAGGCGTGCCCACTCCGAGTTTCGTCTCTAATGCTGAGTCACCATGGGAACGACGGCTCTTCGTCTCAGGTGAAGCCGTCTGCGCCTATGTGAAAGAAGACCACGGCTGTTTCATCCGACGTTGGGGCGGCAGCTGGCGGGAGGTCGCCGGAGCCCGCTTAGGACCGCTTGACTCCAAAGTGGTTGGGCACACGTCGGAGAGTCTCCGTCGTTGACGACGATCTGAATCGGGAACGAACCGTCTCGCCCAGCCCTACGGTGTGAAATGGGGCTCAAAGATGACAGCGCTGCGACGAAGAAGCACGTAGTGGCACTTACAACCTCTTCTGCACCGTTACGATGCTGTTCTTCCGCAGCTATTGGTGGCATCATCATGCCATTCTCAAATGAGCGCCCGTCCGGTGATAGGCGCAAGCCAAGTCTCTCGCATGGTTTGTGCGCACATTCGGAGGGGAGCGAACACCAAGTACTCTCGCCAGTTGCTCGCCAGAGGAAGACAATGCAAAGCGACTTGGGTGGGAAAGCGTGGGGGTGATAGACTCGAACTAGTTGCTTCAGGGTTGCTTCGCGGTGAAGACATACGTTCACCGGCTCAACGGACTTGCTTTTCGGAGTCCAAGGGGCGGGAGGTCAGAAAAAATCTGCAAGGCTTTGCGAGTGCGTATCGGCCGAAGTCCTTCACGTTGCTACGGAGCGACCATCTATTACAGGTACGCATGAATGCAGAAGGTATCGTCGTTCAAGGTCAGTTGCGGCGAATCATGTTCGTGTTTGTGCGCAAGTACTTGAAAGCGCTCAAGGGACTGCGCGTGGTGGTCGCACGGGCGGCGAACCGTCTTGCGCGGTCAGCAAGCAGTCAGCATTTGAATCTCGACCACCACCTCCGGGTACTGCAACCATGCGAAGTCGACCCTATGCTCGGCGCTACGGGCGCCTGTGTGAAATATCTCTCGTACTCCAGTGAACCTGGCATTATCCTCTGGCGCCTGCATCAGTATTACGGACGCCCTGCGCGAGTGCCCCCGGCGCGGGGCGCGACGACGCCGATCACAGCGCCAACAGCAATACTCCCGACGACGCTTGCTATTGCTGTGATGTAGGGCTGCCTCGAGAAGGACACTGTTATGGGCGCTTCCTGCGATGAACGTACCGAATACACGCTTCTCACTTCTGCGACGAGCTTCCGGCGCCGCTGTGCCGGTAGCTTTCTACCCGGCTGCTCTTTCTTCACACCCTACGCCTATACGGCCCTGAAGATCCTCATACCATTGCTCACGGCCGTAGGTCAAACCTTCGCGCCGCGAGGCGCCCGATACACTCGAACTCGAGGAAGTCGCGAGACTGATTCAATCGTCAAGACATCTCAACGCGTCAGGGCCGATGCGCCGAGACTGACTGGTATCTAGTACCTGGCGACGAGATGTGCATAGTTCTATGGACTGGTGAACTACTAGTCGGGCTAGACCGATTGCCACAGAGACGTCATAAAGACCTATATGGAGACCTCCCGCCGTTCGTCGGATTCAGGCAAACCCCGACATGTCTACGAGTGGCCTTTGGCCCGACTAGTGGCGATATCGGCACATTTAGGACACGTTGTGCGTGCATGGTGCGCAGCTATACCATTACTCACTCCTCGATCTATATCTCACGCCTCGGATCACATACTGGGCATAGTTCAGAATGGGCGTCCATTGCTTAATTTTGGAGGTCATCAAGTCGACAGGACCACCACCTCCCCCCGCTTGCTCAGATGACACATCTCGTCACGCACGAAGCGTACGCATGTCGATAGACGCCTTCCAACGGTGGTCTCGGTCCACTACTGGTGTTTCAGCGTCCAAGCTACATCAATCGGCATCAACGACAAAGTTCAAGCCATTGGAAAAGGATCTCTTCTTGTGGTCGCCTGCGTGTTTACGAATCAAATCAAAGCCCCAGAGACGCACGCATTGCAACCTGATCACGATTTTCCCATGCGGGGGAACCGAGGACGAAGAACCTGATATCGCCCATTAAGGGCCTATGCAATAGAGGCGGTCTTTTCATAATCAGTCACCTTTGCTGTCCGGCGTCTGTATAAAGTCTGCTTGCCCGTCTACATGCTTGAGCAGTTCTGCGGCATGGACTACCCAGTGAGTTCTATGTTTGTTCTCCTCATCATCATTTTCAACCCGACTATAGCAGCACCTTCCCGACTACAGCGAGGACCTCCCCGTCTTCCTGCACTCGTACCAAGGCAGCGCGCCCTCCACCAGAGATACGAGCCCGTGGTCCGATGGCTCATTCACGGGATACTCGACGCTACCACCTTCTTCGCCCGCTTCAATCTCCGCCATGGGTCCCGTCAGTGCTTGGCCGATGACACTGCCCGTTGACCCCAAGGCCAAACTTCTCACGCAGGCTTGCATCCCGCTCACCTTCGGACGCGCTACGGCCGAGGCATACCTGGCGCACCTTCTCGGCGTGTCGCCACACTCAGACTGGGGCGTCTCCCGGGGTACCCACGAGTACGCCGGCGCCTACAGGGTTGTACTCAAGATGGACGCGCGCACTCTCGACTTCGACGTCGGTTCAGTCCGCGGTGAAGGCGTTCTCGTCCCCCAAAAACTATGGCGCCCCTCGTCCGACCTCGATCATATGAGACTTGTCAACAACGCAGAGTTGCAGCTACCGATATGGTTCGACTTGCTCACGGGGGGCGTTGGCATATCGCTCGCTGACGCCGTTGATGGTCAACGTGCGGAGCTCCGCGACAAGGATATCTGTGTATCGATGAAGGGGAGAGCGACCACTGCGATCCGTCTTCTCGTACGCTTCCATTGACTTTAAGCTTGCAGCGGTGCTCATGCTGTAGTAGATTGAAGGCCACCCGAAGAAGGAGGCCCAAATACACGTGCGCGACGATACTCAAGCAAAAGCCGCCGTCACTCGCGACCGTCTTGTACGCCAGGTCGGCTTAGTCGTGGAGAAGATCTACAGGGTATGCAGTGCTGCTGTGATCTTCGGCTATGCTTTGCTCACGCTACGTACACAGGCTTTGGGACTTATCTCCGGACCGGGTGACCGCCACTTGTTGCTCATCCTTGGAATTATCCAGGTCTCGGCGGGAGGCTGGCAGCCTCTGTTATTCAAACGATCGCCTCCCGCCTTCAGCTCTATGGCGCAATCCATGCCCAGCCTTGCGATGACGGCGTACTCGACCTAAGGATAAGGCTGGTACCACGCAGCATGTCGTCGAGACGCAATATTCCCGTATTTATTACCTGGCCCGCCCCTTACTATCGGTCCTTAGATCTTCATCTTGCAGACATGATGTGGATGTCCTGCAGCGCACCTTGTATACATACAATGACCCTGCTTGCGGGGATCAGTGCTTTGCGGCTGTGCCGTTACATGAGCAAAGATCGGTTTCGTTGTACTCTGTAGCCTGCTACGTAGTAGTTGATCCCGTTCACTGCGTGAGGGCTGGATGGCTCCTAGCGTTGCACGAAAGACCGAATACCGGAACTAGCCCGCCGTATTGAAGACTGGTGCGGAGCTCGCAATGCAATCCTCGTTCTGCACACAGACAACCGCTGAACATGTTGACTTTGTGCATCGCATTTAGCCCGGTAGCGAAGCCGCCGGTGGGAACTTATGACGAGAGCGCGGGAGATCCAATCATTCTCTCCCTCCTCTGTCCATCATCCCAGCCCCCAGCGGGCCATGGATACCTTTATATTGATCGACTACTGCTACGAGACTAACTCCTGCGCCTTGAGATCAAACAAGATCGGAATTTCGAGAGACGCCTATCCGAGCCGATGAGCCGATTGGGAGTAATAAAGCTCATACACTATCAAGCTCAGCTGGGATGAGAGAAAGTTCTTTCACTCGGCATCCGGACGCTCTTCTCTCACTGTGGCGAAGCCAGGTACTCGTGGTGCTGTACACGGAAGGAAACTCTGCTCCGGGTGGACGAACTTGATTCCCGCATACACGTTATTCAGCACGCGCCTTGACATCATGGTGCCATGTAACTCCAGCTTGAACTGCGTGTGTTCCCTCCAATTCATCTTGGGGGTCCGTAGCTTCCTTGCGCCCAGCCTATCTACAGGCTGCTCCCGAATGCCGTCGACGTTCTCTTCCTCGCAACCCCTAGAGTGCATTTCACGACAAACTAACTTATCGATAGTGCATCGCTTTGCATCGGCAGTCGACTCAGACACTTGGCTGCGTTCTGGCGAAACTATTCCGACCATACTTGGACCTCAATGCGCCTACACACGCACCAAACCCAAGAGTTAGAGGAATACGCTCAGATGTACTGCAACGCGCAAGTCCAAGTCCCGCCACGCTTCATGTGTAGCTTCGTGTTTTCCGATATAAGGTCCTCATCCAACTGGCGATTCAAACATCCCAGCACCATCCACTCGACCTCTAACTCCCCTTGAATGCACTCTACTAAGATGACTCAGGCTGACATCCTCACCATGGGCTTCATCGCAATGTCCTTCGGCTCCAACACGTTTCTACTTCTCAACCATCTCATGAGCGTCCCGGACTGTCGCCTCATTGGAATCCAACATTGTCCAGACGGCAGCTTCCGTTATAGAGGCTCAAACGGACAGCCAAGTCCCGCCATCGACTATTATTATGACCAGAAGGGGACCGTCATTCAGCAGGAGATGTGGCGACCCATGCAACCTGGAGACGTACATCGCCATTTCGACAACGCTCGCATGCAATGGCCGATCTTCTTCCACAACGCAGTCATGGTGCAGGGTGGACAGTCGCGTGTCATCGTAGGCATCGAACTTTCTCTAGCGGGGCATGCGAGTCTTCGGCAGACTATGATACAGCCTGACGCTCTTTCGCCACTCGGTGGTCTGACTACTACCCATCTCTGTCTGAAGGTGCATCCTTTATTGCTTCCGTACTAACGCTAGCCTCTCTCTGACGTTATCCCCATTTAGTGGCCCGGGTACCCCGAATACAAGAAACAGATTGAAATCCAGGACTCACGGCGTCAGCCGATCAGGATGATTAAGTTGGTTGAACGAATCGCGAGGTTTATTGATCGGTGGATAGACGTGAGCATCCGTCTTTCTATGCTTGACTCCCTGGCTGATACGCTTTGCAGGAGATGCAACGTGTTCCTGTAGACCCGCGCCGTGCTAATTGGCGTGTTGGCCCCGGAGGTATCACCAAAGACCATCTATACGTGGTTGGACTGGTGCACGTCTCAGCCGGCACTTGGCAACCTAGTACGCTTGTCTCCTCCGAAGACGTATATGTTGCTGACCGCTCTCGCAGTCTTACAGCTCAAGGGCCACATCATCTACTAAGCTCACCCTCACTCAACCCACTACCGTGTTTCTACTCCTGATGCCCTTCATGTCCTCATTTTCTCTGTGATTCCCATCCATACAATCCTGCCTTTCTCACGCACTTCCCGGCTTTCCTTCCACTGCCCACTGTTTCATCAACCATAGAGCATCCCTGTAGTCTGAATTCATGTCTGCCCATCATCCATGTAGTCCTAGTATCCAATGCAATAATGTAGCTAGCAATAGACGATCTTGATAATGCAAAGCGGTAACCAAATGCGAAGATCAGTAACTGAACGAGCAGAAACATGGTCTTTCACGAGCAGTAATACAACAGCGTCTACCACAAGTCTTGATCAAACCTCTCAAGCACGGCTCCAGCGTCCTCAACATCCTTCTGCGCCTTCTTCCGCATATAGAAGATCGGACAGTCCTTGCTGGAGCACAAAACGTCCTGGTGCAACGACCCCTGGCATCGCTGACACTGCGTCCACAATCTGGAGAACCGTATTTGCATCTCGGAGACTGTATTGATCTGCTTCTGATACAGTTCCCCCATCCTAGGACGACAGTTGTTACAGACAGCACCGCCTATGAGCGTCCCGTCAGTGATCGGGCTTGCCGGGTGTAGCGTGTGCGGTGCATACCTTTTTGGCTGTTGTTTGACTTCAAGGCCGTCTTGCAGCCGAGGCACGTTGCCGTCTTGACAGCGAACTTCATCAGTCCGCCTACGGTCGGCGTCGCGATTTGAATGGTGCGAGTATGGTCGCCGGATACTAGACTAGCAATCAGCGCGCAGAACCACGTGCGACTGGGACGGCACGTACGCAGTGAGTTCGCTTTGTCGCCGAGAATAGGTTCGAAGATACGCATGAGCGGCTTGGACAGTTGATTCTCGAGGTAATATTTCGTGTCAATCGGAATGTTGTTCTCGAGAACGTATATCGGGTCTTCCGACTTCTCGTATGCAGCAGCGCCTACAAAGAACATGTTATCCGGGATGCCCGAAGGATTAACAATGGCCGGAGGCGTACCTTTCATCCCTTTGATGATAACATATGCAACACGATCGCCGAGTGCGGGGGCGGAACCTGGAGCCGCCGGTCAACAAGATGTGCGCAATGCTGTACTCAAAGACAAGCATACCTGCATCACGCTGCTTCATCCGCTCGGCCAATTCGACGTGAGCTTGCTTCGCCGCATAGTCTGCATAGCATTTAGCCTCAGGCATCGCATCAACTTCGACAGGTATACGCACCAGCTTTAGCAAGTGCCTTCGTGATCACCAACTGCGACATGTCGATCTTGTTTTGGAGCAAGTCGGAGATGACGCGTTTGGTGTATCTGTAAGGAAGACTGATTAGCCTCACATAGTTATCGCATGTACAACCAGATACGCACTCTTCAGCGCCCTTCACGTCCCGGTTGATGAGCATCTTGTGGAGGCAAGTCTCGATGACGGTCTGAACGAGGCGGCAGTTGTCGCGTCGTACAGTCTGGCCAAGCGCGCGTCAGCTACAACCATTCATCCAAGCACTACAACCCAGCACAAAGCGTACCTCGATACCCTTTGAATCCATCTTGTCGTACTTCTCCGGCCGTGTCCAGTACAGCCCCGCATAACGCTTCTTGCTAATGAGCAAGTACGGGAAGTAGACCTTCTCGAACTCCAGCTTGATGGGCTTAACGAACTTCTGCGTCACGAACTCCGCCGCTTCGCTCCCTACATCACCGTACTTGGTAAGTCTCAGCGCTTTGAGGCAGAGTAGGTTAAATTACCCATAGCCATGACTGTAGCGAGATCTGTAGGACCGAACTTGACCATGACGGAATCGGTATCGCCGTAGATGACCTCCGCATTGTACTCTTTGCCGTTCGCCACGGAGTACTCCGCCTCGACCTCCTACACCAGTCATACTCAGTCAGCGTCCATCATCCCAAACAGATATCCACTCCAGGAAGACTTACCGACTTGGTCTTCTCGATCATCTCACGACCGTACGCGGTCGTACTCGAGGAAATCGGCAAACAAGGCAACTTGCCAATCGTAGCACCAGTGAACCCGTACACGGAATTCGCAGAGATCTACAAACACAGCCACGAACTATATCAGCCCGGGGTTCTCGGAGATGGATTCAAGCCTCTGAACACTAGTACTCACCTTGAGCGCCAACTGCCGTCCATCCAGCACAGCCCTCTTAAACGGATCCGTCTCCTTCTTCAGGTCCGCTTTAGCTCTCTTCCTCGCCGCGATCAGGTCCTCCAATACGCTCGGTAACAGGCCCTTGCGCTTGGTGCTCTTGACGAAGAAGTCGTTGTTCGGCGTCTGGATGTAGTCGATGTCTTTCTGCAGGCCCATGCGTTCGATCGTGTTCTTATCGAGGAGCGTTGTGTAGCAAAGGTTGTGCGCCATCATGATTGAAGGGTACAAGGAGCTGAAGTCGAGCGTAGCGATAGGCGCATCGTAGTAGCCCTTCTTGGGTTCGATGACGGTGGCACCTTCGTATTGCTCATCCGAACCTACGAGCATGGATTAGCGCGCATTCCTTCCGATCAAACCGCAAGCAGTACCTTCACCCTTGAGCGCAGGGATAACGTAGTCATCGTCGTTGGCCCGTCGGAAGAGTTGCGACAAGACCTTGATGGATTGTCCACGCGACAACAGGTAGTTGAACGGAACACCCGTGACCCTCGCCATCTCCGTATAGTTAACGAAGCACATGAGTTTGTCCATCAGCCGTTGTGGCAGGTACGCATCCTTCAAACAGTACACCGCCAGTC